TTTCAAATTGTCTTTCTCCAGATAGCTATTCGCTGAAGCGAGAAATCGCTCGTAGCGCGATGAACTTGAACGTTGTGCCATTGTCGAGTTTACCAGATGGACAGCGTAGGCGAAATTTAATGAAAAATTGAGACAGTTGAATTTTCTGATAATGTAAAGTAACAAACAGCTCTCAGACTATATCGAAGTTGAACTGACTCTTAAATGATGCGTACTCTAATGAAACTATGCTAGTTATCTCAACTTATCTGCGGTACTCTTAACGATAACAGCGACAGTGGGAGGTGTTAACAATAAAGGTATTAAATGGGGTGAAGTCAATTAATATTTAAGCTTCCGCTCTTACACTTTGGGAATTTGATGGAATTCTGTTTAAAAACTGTGTTACAACAATTATACTCTATGTCTACCCAATTGGTATGAAGCGATCTTAGTTCAGTGTCAGTAGGAGTATGGGAAAGGTAGTGAATTCGGTGAAAGTCAATAAAAATTTGTTCTAAATATAACTGTGGTGTTCGCATAGTTTAGATTTTAAGGCCCACACACTGGACACGATTCGCGACACTGCATGGACGAGAATTTTCCATTTTCGGAAGCAAATAAATTAAATTCTGAACGAATATCTTGAGAGATATATGTGTACCAGACCAGTCAAAATGTATTATCATTCAGAATTCACCAAGAATTTCACAACCTTGGCATTTTGAAAACTGAAAGATTCGTAATTCGGGCCCTCATTTGTTATGAGCAGAACCTATGTGCAGAACGGATTTGACTTCCACTCACTGTTGTCTCACATCAATTAAACACGACAATATTGTCGGGAAGAAGGAAAACTAAATATCTCTGCAAGTATTTGGGCTAAAGACCCCAAAATACCTCAAACGATAGAGCTTGAAAAGACGATTTAAATAGTGTATTCAAACCAGCATATAGTGATAAGCTAAATTTCTTTTATAAGTCACAAATGAGTCAAAATAATAAGTTGCTTTGTTATCTCAGATTACTCACCCATAGCAACCATGTACTTAAAAAATTCCGCATTTTCTCGCTTTTTTGTTCTTTGTTGTCTTTAAAATGTCTGCATTTTACATATTTCATTCTTTTTAAATTCTGAGTAATTTTTGGCGTAGGAAGTGAATGGGCAATATGTCTTTTTATTAACATCGACAGTTCAACATTAGAATATTGAATATCCAACGCATCGACATGTTTCATATTTCTCTAGAGGTCATATTGAAGACGTCTATGACTTAGCTTGGTCTCCCAATGGAACTCAATTGATTTCAGGCTCTGTTGATAAAAGTGTGATAATTTGGGATACTAACAAAGGTATATCCTCATCTGTACTCATTTGTACACATTCGTCAAATTTCACCACTTAATTATATATTTTTATGATCATATGATCAACAGTGAATAAGTTGAGGATGCTAAAGGATCATGCGAATGATATATGCATGATATAGAAGAACACACGTGTGCTCGTAGACGCTAGTTTTGTGCGATAGGCTTTGAAAGCGAAAAAAGCAAACTTTCCTTTGAGGCTTTGATTGTAAGACGAAGTCAAATATTTTATGATAATTAAAAGAACTCTGGAGTGCATTTCTATACAGTATATCCTGTGTTTTGTATAATCATTGGCATAAAAGAACAGCGCCATGGGTAACAAAAGCAGTGTCAGGGAGTATAAAAGGTATTGAATTCGGTGAAAGTTATTTAAAATATCTCCTAAATATAACTGTGTTGTTCGCATAGTTTAGATTTTACTGCGGCAACGCGATGCGAATTTTCAGTTTTTAGAAGCACATAATTAATTTCTGGAAGCCAAATTTGGAATCTAAGGACACCAGAGTAGTCAAAATGTATTATCGTTAAGAAACAATACAAGAATATTGTCATAATTTAAAACTTTTTTTCTTTTGAAAAATCAAAAACATTTAAAAATTGCGACACGTTGTCTGGTCGTCGTCGTCTGGTCTGCGTGGGCCTTAAAGCTTCCTGTGTGTGGGTCCACACCGGACATGATCCGCCAACGCGATGGGATTTTACGAATTTTTCAGTTTTTAAAAGCCGCTAATTTTGACAATGTTATGATATTCTTAGTAATTACCGATTAACGGTACATTTTGACTGGTGTTGTGCCCATATCTCGCAAAATGTTCATTCAGAATTTAACTTATTTGTTTCTGAAAATGAAAAATTCGCGTTGCGTTATAGCGAATCGCGTCCAGTGTGTCTGGTTGTTGTTGATGATCAGTTAAAAAGTTTAAATACTTGCAGCCCAAAGGCTGAATAACGTTTAACTTTACAAAAATACGACAGGTTAAAAAGTATAAATATCCTAAATTCTACACAATATTGAATTTAGTGTAACAAAGATTACTTATATATCTATGAATTATTTACTCATAAAACTTCATAGAGCGATGTATAATAAAACTATTCTTGTATTGGTTAGTTTTACTAGCAACATTATTAAATTAAACAGCATTTTGTTCTTAAATCGTAACCGGTGTCAGTTTTGCTTGCAGCAGGCAATTTGTGGAACGGATCACTTTCAGTCTCTGTAAATAGCTTATCAGTAATATTTTCCCTCCGATCAAAGAGTGTATTAATACGAGCCTCTATAGCAAAGTCTCTGGATATGATAGTGATGGATATATGATTTTGAGTGCACGCTTTTGTAACCTCTCCAGATCGTCTGTTAGGTATTGAGGTAGCGAGTCATTGAGGAAGACTGGGCATTTAGACAATGATAAGCGTATTTTGAACCTTTTTCGGGCACAATATGACAACATACGATGTTGTCCGTGCAACTATATGGACGATAATGACAGTAATGATAATATTCCCAAGTAAAAGTAAACAAATGATCGCAAACATTAACATTTCCGTCTGAAACTATATGCTTGTTCGAAGCAATTATAGCAGTATATCTGATTAGCCAATCACGTTCAATTGGCTTAGCGGTGTTCGCCTGAGCGTAATATATATTCTGAACTATTGTTTTCCAACGTTGAGTTTTAAATACGAACAGGCAATGTTTTTTATTAACATCGACAGTTCAACAGTAGAATATTGAATATCCAACGCATGGACACATTTCATATTTCTCTAGAGGTCATATTGAAGACGTCTATGACTTAGCTTGGTCTCCCAATGGAACTTAATTGATTTCAGGCTCTGTTGATAACAGCGTGATAATTTGGGATACTAACAAAGGTATATCCTTATCAGTACTTATTTGTACACATTTGTTATATTTCACTATACTTAATGATATACTTTTATGATCATATGATCAACAGGGGATAAGTTGAGGATACTAAAGGATCATCGTCAGTATGTCCAAGGGGTGTCATGGGATCCCTGTGGTACCTATGTTGCGTCATATTCGTGTGACCGCACGTGTCGTATTTGCAACACGTCCAACTACAGATGTTGTTTTAATATTAATAAAGTGACTCTGCCGAGTTGTGCCAAAAGTGAAACCGGAACACAGGTCAGTGGATACATGAATGGTGCAGTTTTATTTAGTAACCGTAAAACATTGAGCTTTCCTAAATTTAATACCTCAATTGGTGGATGCTATTGAAGGGAGTTCTTGATCAAAATAATATGGTTAACTTAATGGCGTTTATTTTGCTTGGGGGCGGAGACAATCAGACAAAATAACTCTGCATTCAAATCGGTTGGTTAACTTAGTTCGATAGTATCGTGGGCTCGCATTTGGTCATCGGTTGACCATCAAATACCGGTTAAACAGCTTAGATTGAACTGGATTAGTTCATGAAATTTTGCACTTAAAATGTTATACTTTGCCGCCTTTATAATTATTTTAACTAAAATATCAATTTATCGTCAAAAAGAGTTCAAAACAAATCAAAATATTTCACGACGAGACAATGCCGTCCTTCCTTCGCCGTTTAACGTTTTCACCAGACGGTTTGCTATGCAGTGTTAAAGCTGCTCAGGACAGCATTACGAGACAAGACAGACCACGAGTACCACTGGAGCCAGAAGTTACTATAAACCATTAAATATAGAGCCATTGAACATTACAAACACAATATTCAAATTATTTGGCATTCGCTTGTTTCCAACTGAAGGTTACCTAAGGATAAGTAAGATATATAGTTTAATATAATAAGTAGATAGCTCTTGATAGCACATAAACAATCAAGTTTTCAGCTTCATTTACTTCTATAATACTTGTTTATTCTGCCAGATATTTTCCTATCATTTTCATTGACTGCGAAGCCGGTGTTTGGTCGCGGTGTTAATGCACAAAGTAAACTCTAGACTGATTATTATTAAATGGTTACAAAGTATTCTGATAGTTGTAGAATGTAACATAAAAAAACAATTTTGTTGTACATTATATTTTCTAGATAATAATATTTGTTCAAGATTTGCGCTGGGAAAATTTAATTTTTGCTTCGACAGAACAGCAAAATCTGCTAAAAAACACATATAGCGCCAACCCTATGCAGCATGGCCTATACTCTAACCCGCTATTTATCTTCTGCAGCATCGTGTTATATTTAAAGTTATGTTATATGCATGTGTTCTGCATCGCTGCTGTTAGTTTTATAACATTGGAAATCAAACGAAAGTAAAAAAAACTTGCAATACCATGTCCAACTTAAAGCTATATAGAAGTTAGAAAATATGTAGCTATTGGGTTAAACAAATCGACTTTGAACAACACGACCCGACCATTCAAGAACAAATTAGTAATGAGGGGACTTTTCCTATAGTCAAACGACGAATTACGGAGTACTCTTTTAAAAAATTTCAACAAGCTCAAATTTGACGAACGAACGAGTTATAACTTTCGTTCTCCATTAACGCGGACTTGGTAGCACTCGAAGATAGGTTCGTTTCATGTTTTGTCTGAGAGGACCACTTGCATTTTAACGAATTTATTGTCAAATTTTTAAAAAAACAAAATTAGCTTGCAGGTACGTTTTGCCTCGGTTGGCTTAACACGCAGGTCAAGTTTGGATTAAGATCGTGTTAAGAAAAATAATATATCCTATATTTAAATATATTGTCATAAATATTCCTTCTTTTACTGGAAATATTGTATGTAGACGGGCGGTAAAATGGAGCGAGTGGGAAAATCGTAACGAGAATTAACTGGATATCTCTTGAAATCTCGCATGCACTTTGTAAGTGTATATTAAAAACTTCCATTGAATTTCGTATATGTAAAATTCAACACCGATTTCAAAAAAAATGAAATATTACATGATTTTTTACGCTCAGGATGTACTTATCAGTTGCTGAAATGATTTATCCAATTCTTCTAAATTGAGATATACTTCATACAGTATAAAATTTTTACTCCGTAATTCACGGCTCGTTAGTCAATGAATTCTTTGATCAGCCAATTGTAAACATGACATTGGAAGGTTTCTATTATAGATCCATAGTTTGAAACGGGGCAGTTTACATTTGGGGTATATACAACCGTTTATAAGACATGCAGCTATTTCAAAAGTTTGAAACAAGCTCTCGATCTGGCAAACTAACACCTTTTTAAAGCCTCCAAACTTGCATGGCTTTTGCAACAAAACATATCGGAGAGATATTTATAATTTGAAAGATAAATTTATCATTGAAAATAATTGAGGGTTGCGTTATTTGCTATTTGTTGATTCATATTTAAAGGATTTAAAGTTCTCTTCGTTTTAAAATTTACTTCTAGATGAAGTAAAACTGTAGCGCTTCAAAACATTGTCATTCTATCATGTAGAGCTGCGCAAATCTAAATTATTACTGCACACAAGGGAGTTAGTCAACTAGGGAGTTATGCAGCCTTGACTATTTCTATTTGTGTGTATATACTGCAACATGCTTGTCCAATTTTTAATGCCATTACAGTGAATGTAGTCTATACAAACGGTGCTGATCGACCATGATTTGGCTGAACGCGGTAATCATTATCGTTTCAATTTCATCACTAGTTCATGGTAAGTCTGGTGTTCCTCGATAGTTAGCCCATGACGATTATCAATTACAACAGCAAATAGATCTCTTAAAAAACTGCAGCAAAAAAATTAATGATATATAGCTACGCCAGCGAAATGCATTATCCTATCGGCAAATAACTTTTAAACAAGCCATAAAAATATCTTGAACAACATATAAGATATATTAAGTAAGGTGTCGTTGTATTGAAACTTTGCACCACAAGATGTCTACTCACTGGCCATTAAATCTTTACTGATATGTCACACAGACAGATTTATTTACGTTCTCATATCTTATTAGCCTATTCAAATATTCAAACCGTTTAAAATCCATCTACTTCGATTAATGAGAAGGAAATTCATGTAAAGCGTATAACAATGGCTACTGCATGTGTATTCATGTCTCTTCGCGAGAATTTCAGTGTTAACATCACATATTGAGGAAACAAACTCTGCATATGAGCGAATATTGAACACAGGGAGGTGCCTGGAATTTATGTATTGATCGAGTATTGATTTCCAGGACACGGTTATCTCATTGACCGGGATATGATCGCAAAACAAGATGGTTTCAAGTTTCATTTCCATTCGGGCTCTGGATTATCAGAGGACAAGGTATAGTGTACGATTCACCAAACTAGGTGGGGAGAGGGCGGGGTGGGCACGGCCGAGGGCATAGGGGTGACTGGTACGATTCCCAAATCCCCATTATTGGAAAAGATATTGAAAGTTGGAAATGATGATAATTTATGAATCTAAGGCCTGTTTAAATGGAATAAGTTATCTCAGCTAGGCGAGGTGAAAACTGCATATAATGAAAGACTAATCAGGTTAAGCCTTTGATGTGATGCGCTTTAACCTCGCCTACCCGGGATAACTCGCTTCATGTAAACAGGCCAATGTCGCTCCATGTAAACAGGTTTTCACAGCCTCGGTTGTTGGAAGGACGCGTGGCTCAGGGCAATCCAGCCGCTGGAGAAACGACACAAGTTACTGATGGACGGAGATTATAAGCTTAGGGAGGATCCCATGAGGAAATGCGCCATTGCGGCGATGGAGAATAAAATGAAGCTGTTTGCGATTGAGAATGGCGGACAGTTTTGGAGATGTGAATGTTAAAACTTCTTTGTTTAAGAAATACGGAAAAGCTGAAAATTGCAGAGGTAATTCTATCAAACAGGGCTGTTTTAACTCTAGAAAGGAGCTTTGGGAAGGGGTTAAAGGTGACGGCGCTGACGCAGGGCTCTAGGAAAAACATTTTAAGCAATACTTCTAGTTACCTTCATGTCAAGACGTTTTGGACACACTTGCTGAGATTATTCACCTTACTGAAGTTGAAAAAATCTTTAATAAAATTGAAAGTCAACACTGTGTTTATTTTTTTCAGATGATGGATATGGAGGACCATGGAGTATGCAAGTGTATAGGTAAGTAAAACTAAAATCAAAATAAACTACTTAACAAGCATCCGTTTTTTTATTTCGGACGATTCATCCTGGTGAACGATGACGATGTAAAAGTGCTGGTCAGTTGGTAAAAAATTTCAACGCGACTCTACTATTTGGTAAAGCCACCTCGAATACCATCAATGATTATAGTATTTTCTACTAAGTTTCACAGGACCAGTGTTAAAACGCCGTCATGGCGGGTACAGTGAATGGTCCCCATGGACGAAGTGTAGTAAAAGGTGTGGTAAGGGGATACAGAAGAGATTTCGTACGTGTACCAATCCATCCCCGGCTCACGGTGGCCGAGACTGCAGTAAACTGGGACCGGGCGTGGATAATAGGTCGTGTGAAAATGAATGCTTGGGAACCGAAAACGGTAAGATAGGACTGGAAACCACTTCGTAATCATTGACACCTTCAACTCGACACCCTCAACTTGTACGCACTCTTTGCTAACCAAGTTGCGAATTGACGGATACGAGATTCTATCGAAGCTCTTAAAATTAATAGGAATTCATAAAGTTTTGCATTGTAATAATCGTGGTAACATGGTCACTCCACCACACATCATGAAATAAAAATTCGTAATGCTTTTGCGAAGATAATGTTGTCTTATATTATTGCACACTTGACCCTAGCTTTCTCAAAAACTCTTTCGTTGGTCATATGCAGTGTTGAAGACAGTGATACTGCCATAACTAGTAACTGGCTTTCCATACGAATACTTATTGATTGGATTTGCTTGTTTTATACCTAGATGAATTGGAAAATCCCGACAAGGCCCAAGAATCGAATACTGATTCGGAAACGTCTAAATTGAACGAACCAAAATCGTCATCAGAGGCCAGCAAAAAATCTGAAGACACAGATGACTACTTAGACGATGATGATGATGATAATGATGATGATATTGATGATGATGATTATAAAGACGATAAACATAGTCCGGATATTGGCAAAAAGACTTCGGATCAGAAGTTGACCAAACCAGCAGGTAATCTTGGCGGTAGTCTTGTACTAAAATCAGTTGGCGATTCAACTAAATCAACAAGCCAGACGGTTAATGATGGCTCAGTTGTGTCAATAACGAAAAACAGAAACGCTAATACCTTCAGTCAGAGTGGCGCAGCTCTTGCTAAAGTTGGTAACAAAGACAGTTCTAAACAGACCACGACGAGTGGTGTCCTAAACGGCGAGAAGCCAGCTGTATTAGGAAATGATCAATCAGGTTTAGCAAAGACAGAGGATGGTTCTTCTGGTGTTAGTGGTGCAGGGACGAAACCACTTTCAACAGCTGATGCACAACCTACTACACTAAGTGATACCACATCTAGCATGAAAAATGGCGATATGTATTCGCCAAGCAATGGAGGTACCGAAAATAAAGATGAGAATATCAGGCTCCAGTTGCTGGGAAGAATAATGACCAGTTTAACACAAATGAGCCAGGTCAGGAGAGTGATGATGCGAAGCCAGGTGACCTCCCTGGAACGAGTTCAAGTATTGACCAAGAAAACGGCGATGGGTCAAAAATGTCAGATGGAGGAACCTCGGGGAGTTTACAAACCTCGAATGGTCAAAATCAAGATACAGCTATGGATACGAAGTCTGACAGCACTGGCAAGATCAGTGAACAGAATGCAAAGGATGATATGAAAGATGGCGATGAGTCAAAAATGGAAGATGATGATTCATTGGATATTTCGGATAGTGACACCTCCGACAATAAGGAATCTAGCGAACCAAATAAGGATAATACAGATTCCACATCAGACAACGCAGAGGAGAATACTGAACAAACATCGAGCAATGGAGTATCAAATGACGATAAATCCTTAGATATCAGCACGGAGGACCCTACATCTAGTCAAGGTAGCAAAAATCCTCAATCAAGCGATATGGGGAAGGATGGGGACAAGGCTGATAATAATGGTCTGCCAAATAAGCAACAAATGAAAGCTGTAAGTGTGAATTAATATGTTCTAAAAACTAGTTTCGTTTTAGTACTTGTAAAATTGCACTAGAAACTCGCTTCATGAACAACGCTCCATACACACTGGTAGGGATCAAAACACCCGATATTTTTATGTGCTAGCCGGATACGGGATGTAATTAATTTGTTGCAATATGCTACTTGCTAACTGCCTTGTACGATTGCATGCTTAAACTCTAGGCCCAAGATCTCCTTCGATCAAGATGGCTATCACTAGAAAAGAAAGGTCGCCTCAAACCAGTCCCAGTGAAAAATCCATCAGATAAGCCATCTCAACCCGTCGTCGATGCTTCCTTGAGAGACGACAGCGAGGATTTTGAGGATGAAGAAATGGAGGAAAAAGAAGATGGAAAAGCGAATGGAGAGAAAATAAATGAGAAGAAAACGGAAGATGAGGCAAAGGATCAAACAATGAATGACCAGAAACTGGAAGGCCAGGAAAGCGATGCGGAATCAGAATTGGATGAGAAGAAATTGGAAGAAAAGGAAAATGATGAAGTAAACAATAGCAAAGACCAAGAAGAACTGAATGAAAAGACGGAAGATATGCATATGAATGGTAAGAAAACAACGAACTGTCAGGGCAAAGAAAATTAAACCCCATTAAATATTAACATCAATGAAAGAATGACCAAAAAAATCAAGTAATTGATTATACAAGTAAGAGATTACCGAACTGGATGTTTTGCTGTTGAAAGTAATAAAAACATCAAATTACTTGAGACCTGTCATTTATAGAGGCTTGACTGTACCTTCAAGGCTGGTCTTTTCGTTTTATTCCAGGTGATCAAACAAGGAATCAACAAGAGATGGAAAAACACGAGGAACCATCGAACGATCATAAGATGGACGAGGGTTTTACGGGAGAAATGGGAGAGAAAGTCGACGAGAACATGAACGATGCAGAAAAGACATCAGAGGAGAGTGGTGCGAAACGAATTAAGGAAGAATGCATTTGTCCTGCCCTTGGTAAGTCGGTTAAATGTCTACAATAGCTCAATAGAAATGATTGCGGCAATTGAAGAGGTTCCCAATAAAGTGATCTTAAGGCTAGATTTACACTTGCAAAGAAGTGGTTCGTTTTTAGCATAAATAAATTAGTTCAAATTGACTGATGTCAATTCAAAAGAAAATATGCAAATATTTTTCCAGACGGCAACCATGATTTCGCGAATTGAAATCCAGCGTAAGATGAACATGCCCGCCACCTTTCCTTAGTAGATAGGTTTAGGCGTAATGCGATTTGCGATATTCCCTGGTTGAAAAACCTAGAAGCTTAGAAGTGAGCAAGTGTTCTGGTACACGCCGCTGTGGTCAGTGTGGGTTTGGGTCACAGGGCGAAAATTCGCGCGTGACGAGTCTTTGTCCGGCGGTAAAAGCAATGGACTTCGTAAACTCGATTTAAGCTCGCATGAACTGGGTTGCACCGCATGGGTCATCTAGCTAACTTCGAATCGGTGACAGAACCAACGTTGCATCTTTTATAGCTACCGAATTCATTCGCTTTCGAGGATTATTCCTCCTCTCCACGTTTTCAACTTTCGTCTTCGCGTTTCACAGCCAGGCTGGTTTTCTCGCACGACTCTCGTTAACTGATTCAAATATTTGCTTCATGTTTATGGTTGTAATTAGTATTCATCAATCACTCCCCCCCCTTTCCCCATTCCAACGGCGCTCATGTTCGACACCAAGGCTAACCAACTTTCTAAATCTCAGCTTTCAGTTGTCACAAATAGCTTGCCTTTTACTAATCATATTTACCTTTCTGCCAACTGAATCCTGCAATCAAATCCTAGATACTTTCTGACTCGTCCCCAGTTGCTTTGTGGTTGTGCGGATGGAGTAATAAGATTTCTCCTAGCCACCGATCTATAAATATCACTGATATGTGCCAAGTTGTGGGTCTCCGTTGGGACCCTAAATCCATTCTCCTCTTTTAGGTCATTACCACTGGATTTCTTTTCTTTCAGTTTGCAATCACTTGGCAGACACGGGAATGTTTATCGACAATACAAATGTAACAGACATTAATGATCTTAACGAGATGAAAGCTTTTGCCAAAGGACTTGCCATTGGTTTTAAAACAGAGGACAAGGATGTTGTAATGGGAATTATTGCAAACATGAAACGTTCGCACATTGTTGGGTCTCCAACTCAGGCAGGGGATTCTATCTTACACCCAAAAAGCAGGCTAGCAAATCAGGCATCGAAACTGATTAGAAATTCTCGACGCAGACCTGCAAATCGGGCACAAAATCTCGATGTACATCCTAAAATTAGCTTTACTAACTGGGCACAAAATCCTATCGGAAATCTATTCCGGCATCATTCGAAAGCACACCCTCATATTCTTGCAAACATCCCTAAAACCGGGCCTTCTGCTCAAGCATATAAACGATCAAAACTTAAAATTTTTTTTAAATTCCGCCCGGAAAGGGAGCGAAATTCTAAGGCATTCAAGCGGGCAGAAGCTTACATGCTGGCAAAGCAAAAGCAGCCCATTCCACCAATACTCAATGATGTGCTGTTTGTATTGATCAGCGGTGCAGAAAGTGACGCTGAAGTACATGCGCCCGTGAAAGATGTGAAAGCGGCAGGGGCGAAAATTGTGGTCATAGGGGTTGGCAAGGACGCGAAAATTGGAAAGGTGGCATCGCAGGCAGACCTAATGTTTATGGTCCCCCCCGGAGCCGGAAATGCAATAGTTAATGCCATTGTGGTAGCAGTATGCAAAGCTTGTAAGTTGCAGCCATGTTCAGGGGGGAGGTTACTGAAAACATTCCCTAATGAAAACATTCACTTGTTAGCTATCTCGCCAGAAAACTATTAAATGATTATTTTATTTAGTTCTCATGGGTAAACCAGGACCAAATACCAAGCCTTGCCCATGTATGTTACAACCAGTTAAGAAAACCTCGCCAGAGGAAAATCCCGGTAAGTTTTTACGGCGAGTAGTAGTAAGCAACCTTAAAGAAAAATTTCCATTTTGCGAAATTTCAACACGTGGAATGTTATACTGCCGGATGAGCAGAAAAAGCTATACGAAATTTGCGATATACTTTGGACAATGAATTATCTTCCACATTTTACACCCTTTTGCAACCAAAGTTTGCAGTTTCACTTATTTTCAAGATGCTCTTTGCTAGCAGTGGCGATGAATTTTTTGCCTTCTCAATAAAAATGAGGCCTAGAAATCATCGATTCGATTGATACAACATTGATGAGGCTGTTAGTTGGCTCCCAGGGAGAAACATTTTGCATTCTATCAAACATGCACGCTCTATCTTACCCTTTTCATTTCATGCAGGTAAGATCAATACAGAAATGTCGAAAGAAGAATACAAGGCGGGCATGTTTCATGCGAGCGGTTTACCCAAGGGGGATACTTCATCTACTACACCACAACAACCTTTGTCCCAGGCCACATCTGATATAATTTCAGATAAAAAACCTCCAGCAGCACCAAGTACCTTGATCGTAAGTGCTAAGAAACCACTGACCGCTGTGTCCAACACCAAAGCACCAGAGGGAAATTTGCCGGTATCGAAAACGGCGCCCGAAGCCTTCGGCGTAACCCAGCCCGTATCTTCACCGGCGACCGATAAATCACCATCCGCTAGTCAGCAGACAAGTTCGGTGAAAAATTCCCCCAAACCTGCAGAGCGGTCCAAGCCCGACAACCTGCCTGGTAATGGTGCCACCACTCAGGCAATGCCTGTTAAAACCGCCAACGACAAAGTTATTCATATAAAACAAGACAGGTTCAAACCTCTATCAAAAACTTTATCTACCCTTGGGGAAAGTCTCAACAAAGCTCATTCGACGGGCGAATTGCATGAAGGCTCTTATGCGTTAGATGGTGACATACAAAATTTACTGAAAACAATCGGAAAGTTAAAATCACAAGTTGATAATCTAAAAAGCGATGAGTTAGCATCAGGAAATAACGATATTGAAATAACCAGCGATAATAACAAACCCGGGATTGTCTCCAAGCCTTCCAGCCAATCACAAGAAGGCTCTGAGTCAAGCAGCCAATCATCGTCGAGTATCGCATCTTCAACAAATAAATCGCCCTCAGCTTCTACAAGTCAAAAAATAACAGCCCCAGCTTCGACAGGCGAATCAACAACGGTCTCGGCTACGACAAGCCAATCAATGACGGACACAGCTTCCACAAGCCAATCGCTGCCCAGCTCTGAATACGCTGGCCAATCGCCTGCGAGTTCGAATGCCGTTGAAGAATCGAATTCTAAAACAGGAGGTACCAACGATATGCTGTCAAAATCAAACACGACTACCCATGTGCCGTTGAAATTAAAATTATCGACACTCCTGGTAACGATCCGCAAAGAAATGCCACCGTACTACATTTGAAAGTAAGCGATAAATTCAAGTCTGCAAGGAAGGAATCGGCGGGAAAGCCGTTGTCTCAGAACCCAACTGCAGGTAACATTAACAAGCCGAAAACGGACAGCATACAAGAGAATCCTTCCGTTCCACAACCAGCCAACGATTTGTTAACTGGGCAGAATACTTTAACAAAAAAGCCGAACAATGTAGGCAAAGGGGACAAAGATCTAAGTTCTGATGGGACCGAATCGTTGGTCCAAACAAAGAACCCACAAAATGCAGGACCAAGTTCAAGTTCCACACTCAAGGCACCGGCGAATGCTGCGTCGGGACAGATTGTGAAACCAGAGCAGCCGCGCGGTAATCAAGCACAAAACGCTTTGGCAAATGTTCAAGATGGAACCAAGCCGGGTACTGCGAGTACTCAAAATGTTCTACCATCAGCTCCTACCAATGACGCTTCTGGTAAACCTGAACCATTACCTCAAATTACCAAAACTCAGAATCCACCGCAGCAAAGTGCAACTGGCACCTCCCAGAATGCAAAACCTTTACAAGCTGATCAGACTTCACCAGAAGCTCAGATTGGTGCCACACTAGGTAACGCGAAAGTACCAGAAGCTGACGCCACCAAAACACAACCCTTGACACTGAGTGATCAGAAATTACCACAACCTAATACCATAAAACCGCCAAGTACCACCTACCAAGATACGGTTTTAGAAAACACGCCAGAAAGCACTGTCATACTGCCTGCGCCTTTAAGTCACGAGATACAGCGACCTGCTCGAAACGATGGCAAAGATTTTACCGCGATTGAGAGTAGATTATCCAGACAAAAAGAAACAAGAAAGCCAACTCTAAAATCATCGATACCAAGTAAGTGAAGTTTATGCCATGTTGTTAACTTGCTGCATACCGAACCACCATTTTAGTGGCAAGTGCAAGGATTAACCAAAATCAATTAAGCTATATTTGTCTCGAAGCCTTAATAGTTTCTACCTCTCCAGTAACAGCTATCGATGTTAATAATGAAGTAATCTACCCAGAATATTCACGTGCAAAATATTTTGTTTACGGACTCAAGATTAAGTTCTTAGCAATGGTCAACGATACATTTTTTGCATCAATGTGATAATGAAGGGTTGAAGACTATACGATCTAAAATCGTCCCGAGATCGGCACCCCACACAATGATCATGTATTGTCGTAGAGAATTATTGATTAATTGATTGATTGATCGATTGACTGATTGATCGACTGATTTAATTGTCAATCCTCACACACTGTGTCGGCGCGCATTTCCAGAAATATCTTCTAGTCTAATTGTATACCACACTGCGTTTCAACAGATTGCAATATAAATCTTGGTTTTGTGTTGGACGGCTCAGCAAGTGTGGAAGGAACGAAACGAGGGAATTTCCTGAAAATGATCAACTTCGCCAAGGATGTTATACACGATTTCGTAAAGCAATCTCAACAGGTCCATGTTGGTACTCTCGTGTATAGCACCAATACGTCTGTGATACTGTCGTTTGGCACCAAAGGAACGGAGAAGATCATTGATCAGATCTTGGACAGCGTACACTATCCAGGTTGGAAGTCCTAAATAACTTCTATGGTGTATTTGACGAAGATTTTTGAGATATTATCATAAGTAAATCACCATGATCAGCTATCCAGACCGCAGTTTTGATTGCAGGTCAATTGGAATCAAACTCAGTAATTCCTTTGAATATTACCTTCATGGGCCTCTAGACTGTTTAGACCCGGGGACTGCCAATGCTATATAATTCAAACAAGACACAGATTGAGACTGTAAATTTTCGACTTTATTACAAAGTCATCTTCAGACAGAATGAAATACAATACTTTACAATGCATATATATACAACAGTCAACACAGAGAGAGAGAGCACACGTGTCAATCTAGCATGTAGGCGGAAGGCCGGAAACCAAGCCAAGCTGTGAATAAAACTAAATATGTATGCTAGGGATTAACCTTCACGATAAATAGCAGAGCCTAAATCTTTCAACATTGCAGGACAAGGCTCGCTGACCGGGAATGCAATGAAAGATGCCTGGAACCTAATGTTCAGCTCGGTCCCAAGAGGAAGAAAAAGTAAACTTTTGCTTCTGACCGACGGCCCTTCGAACGACGATGTCAAAATGCCTTCGAAATGGGTGCGCGATAATGGAGTGGAGATATTTGTGATTGCTTTGGGTAAAGGTTACGACGAAGGCCAACTCAATGACATTGCCAGTGTACCAAGTGTTAAACATATCATGTTGAAGGATTATGATGATCTCCGAACTTCTGTTCAAGAAGTTAGGAACAGAGTTTGTGGATTCACTGATCAGCAAAGTTAGTTTGTGCATATTTACCACAAGCCGTGCGTTAGCCAATCAAATTTCCTGTTATATCAGATTTATTTTATAATAGGATTTCTAATATAACTAAGAAGCAGCGTGGTAGAGTCTTCAAACAACTTCGAATTAAATGTACACTTCTAAACGTTTTGAACTAAGGCTATCGTCAAGAGATAGAATGAAAAACAAGTTATCTTTTATCTCTCCCGACGAAAGTCGAAACGTCAAGAAGTGTAATAATAGAATCTATTACATAGTTCTTTCAAATCATTATTGTGGTAATTCAGAACGATTCTCATCATTCATTAATGTGTTTTATTATTGTGCAGTCCTTCAGATAATGACAAACACAAGATTAATGGACAGTCCCGATGAAATGAACTCATTTCAGAGAAGTTTTGCGCCCAATCAATGCATACTGGACGTTGTATTTCTACTGGATGGTTCGCGACAAGTTGAGACAAACGGCGTTGGCAATTTTCAACGTGAAATTAACTTCGTGAAAAAGGCGGCAAGATATCTTCCACTATCAAGGAACGATGTTCACATTGGGGTGGGCCTCTTAGGTAAGACCTGATGGAAATATTTTGATGCATTTAAGTGCAAAAAACCTGACACATTTAAATGCAAAAACCTTGACACATTTAAGTGCAAAAATATCCATCAAATATCCACCTCTTTTTGTAAATGGCATATGTTTAAAACAAGCGAGCTTATAAACATTTAAGTTTACCCCTAGATCTCAAAACTTAAGATATTTTACGTACTTTTTTGACCGTAATGGGTTAAAAATTTTTAACGGTAAATTTTCCTGAAGCGGGTTTCCACTATAGGGAATTTTTCGACTAGATTCAAAATCATACATTTAGTGCTTTATTCCAGTGGAAATTTATAAGATTTACTTTTACGTTAAGTTAAAATAATCAGTTTTTAACCATGGAAGATTTTTCTGACTAACTTTTTGAAACCCCACATATATTTATATACATTATGTGAATTGTATACTTTAATGTCAGTCAAAATCAATACATTATAGGTGACGTCAATGTAATGGTCTTCCCTTTGAACGAACATTATATTCCGAATTCCATAGACTACGAACTTGATCATATACGATATCCTGCCTCATCCGATATTCAGCCCCGGGAGGTATTGTACGCCCGGCAGGTTATGCTTTTGAAAGGTAAGAATGACACATTGGAATGTCATGACTTGTATGTTGATACTTCGCATGTAATGACAAAATGAAAACGTCAACTATCAGTAAACAACACTCCTATAACGACTGGCTATAACTCGACTAATCTGCAGTGAAAAGTGGTTGTGAAGATAATGGTAAAAAATTTTTTTACTTTTTGTTCATATTTATTATAAACCCCCTTTTCTTTCGAGATCAAGCACAGTTTAACTAAATAATATTCGCAGACTTGTTTGTATTAATGAAAAAATGGACGGTTATCTAATCTGGCGATATCAAGAGTCTCCAATATATTTTGCTGTCGGCAGATCGGGGGGAAATTGCCCTTCCACTCTGCTCTGAATGGCCCCCGAAGGCTGCTTTCCACTGTCGCGTTTTTTGCACGCACGTAAAAGCTTAAAACCTTATAATACCAAATGTTCAACAGAATCCAACCCTACTTATCTATTCAAACGTTGATTTCATAAGTATCATTTAAATGATTTTAAACTTTTACATACTTACAAGAAACGCGACAGTGGAAAAACGTTGAGCGTGGAATTTTGTGAGCTTTCGTAGACTATTGTAAAAACACAAAGATAAAGTGAAGTTTAAGGTTTCTAATGAGTGTTCACACGCCTGATTATGACTTCGTATTTTTAGGTAGACGAGAAGTGGCCCCTCGGGTATTTGTCCTAGTCACGGATGTCAGCTCGTTCGATTCGTATCGCCATGCGATTAGCGAGCTTCGCACAGACGGTTCAGACATCGCCATGTTTGGGGTAGGACCAGAGTCATACGAACAAGAAGTGAAGATAAGATCCAACGTCCAGGGATTGGACGACCAAGTTGTGCAGTTAAACAGCGCCGATGAAGACGAGGCTGCCAAAAATTTTGCCATCAATATGTGCAAGCTATCGAGCTCAAAACGAACAGAGATACCGAGAAGACATTGGAAAGCTTCTAACAAAGTTTTAAATGAAGACTAAAGGTTTCAAAGTCGATTTCACAGTCCCTCGTAAATTGGCCATTCCAAAATTGCAGCTGGTATAATAGACAAATGAAGTGCATTATCGAGCTGTTTCAAATAGGATAAACACTTTATATGCACCCAAAATAGTCCCATGACGCATTTTCTATTGCAATTTTCGATTGGCCAATGCTCTACGAAGTAGTGAAGTTGAAAAGTTTGTGTGTATGGAATTGATACAAGTAGAACTTACCATCGACATTACCTGTAAAATTGTTAGATGGTACACAGGCTGACGGAGAACAGGATAGCTCTGTCTCTGAGTAGAACATTTGTTTCATCTCAAAAGCATGTCGGTGGTTTTAGGTGAATTTAAAAAATATATATGCCTATATGCCTATGGTATTTCATATTTGTGTTCCAGATTAATGATCAGATTAATGATCAGAGATTAATCACAAGTGTTATACTTAATAAATGTTGCCGACAAGAGGAAAGACTAAATTTAACGTATAGTATGATAAAATTTTGAATGATTCTAGATTCAATGATAAGTACTATTGTCTACAGTCCAACTAGAAAAACTGAAAATAGTGTTAAAAAACTAAAGGGTGAAATATACAAATCGGTAAAAATTTTTTTTAAAATCGATTTCAAAATCTGTAACATTACACGTGTACACGTCTACAGGCGTTTACTGACATTGCATCATAACGGAAAAAACTTGTAATTTTAACATTGGGTGGAATTTTAATGCATGTAAATGATTAAAATTTTCAGCAAGCAGTTACAAATGAATAAATACGTACATGTATAAGTTAGTTTAATATTACACAGCCTTCGGCTCTTCTAATTTTGTTTTTAGCACATGCTAAAATGTTCAGTTCGTCTGGTGCACTTCAATGACAATGTAAGCTAACAATTCGTGAAATCTATTTGCAAATAATCCTGGTCTAAAATAAACATTCAGTTATTTCGGGGTAAAATGTCAGCAAAAACAACATATTTCAACACAATCTAAAATCACCTGAGTTTAAAAATCTTTCTCGACTCAAATTAAATTCTACGTCTATTTTGCAAATAGAACTATTAAATACTAAATTATTGAAACGCAACAATGTTTCAATATCAATTATTTTTAAATAATAATGAATGTTAGAAAATTAGTATTTAGTATGTAAGTGGGATTATATTCCCGTCAGTTCGATTCTCGTGGGTTCGTTTCCCGTAGGTTCGTTTTTCGTATCCCCTTTAACTGTAAATGGTAACTCCAAACGTTCTGTTTGAGTAAGTACTATTCCCGTAGAATCTTTCACCGTAGGGGTAATTTCCGCAGGTACATTTGGCGATGGTATCATCTCCGTGTGTCCATTACCGGGATGAACAATTTCCGTGGACGTTAACGCCGTAGGTTCATTTTCCGTGGGTATCATTTTCGTAGGTTCTTTGTCGACGGATTATATCCCGATTTATAAGTTGGTAATGGATAGTCACCATTACAAACCTTTTTAGTTTCATAATTCTGACCGTTAATGTACACATCCGTACCTTCGACACATGTGATGCTCCCATTTATCCCCTGTGTCTCAGGACAGTGAGAAGAGGAATATACACTGGTTTGCATTTCCACAGTATTCAGTCCAGTTTTTATTTTCAACTCACTGTTACCAACACACGCTTCATTATTTGGGTTTAAAGCGCAGTTTACCACAGGTTCGCTTGCATCATGATTTTGCTGTAGTTCATTATGACCTTTCGGCATTTTATTTGTATCTGAAAGACTGCCATTTGTCATTTTATCCAGAAGGATACCATCACTTCGACTGTCTTTTATATCCATCACCTCACCCTTATGTCCTTTAGTATCGCCGTTCTTATCATTACTTGTTATCAACTGTTGTCCTTTACTATCCCCAGAAACTTCTGGATTACCTAGGGTGTTCTCAACATCTACCCCATTAGAAGTGATTTCTATTACATCATTTTGAGTCACACTTGTACCGTTATATCCATCATTATCTACACCATTAATCACAACTTCAGCATTTCCCGACACTTTTGAGATGAGGTCGTTAACAATGTCATACACAATACCGTCACGAATTTCTTCACTTTCCACAGCAGAGTCGTGTATTGCGTGATCATCCAAGTACGGGCGTTTCTCGGACTTGACCTCATACAGCGAGTCTGGATTCTCATCACAAACCTCACCTTCGAGACTCTTAGAAACCTCAGAGAGAGGTGAAGAGCTTGCAGAGACCATATCATCATAATCTAGGAATTTCCTTTTTCTACTTCGAGTGACCATCGACAGCAGAGGCGCACCCTCCTCCCCCTGAATTTCATCCAAATTAATGCTGTCGGGAATACTAGTCATCTCAACATCGCGGGGGGTTTGGATATCTTCGCCAACAACGTCTTCAGTTTCATCTTGGTTCTCTAATTCATTGCCTGCAAAAACAATCACTAGAACGTTAGATCAAATTACAAGAAGGTTGTTAGTCACACAACAACTTCACAACATGTTGGCGTTGTTCATTTGCCAGACAATAACGTCCGTCGATCATGAGTCTAACGATAATGCAGAAGTGTCACGAAGCCAGTGAAAATTTGCCAAGCCATTTCAATACGCAATTCCAGCTATAAGCTATCATGATGGTATCACGTGTCATTCCAATATGGGGAAACAAACTTACACTCTTACTTAGCCTGAAATAATTCACGTTTGCGAAAAGATAACGGATGCAGATTTTGCAAGAATGTATCGCGGTGGAAAATCGTTCAAAAAAAAATAATTTGACCTTCTTGGAAGGCCAAAAGAAGGTTTTTTACGGTGTTAAAATCTGTATTCACATGTATTTCCTGGTATTTTTTTTAGCCTCGATTTCCTCTAAATGTACACCTCATAATCTTTTCCTAACTGGAAATTGTCGGCTTAGCGCAGTCAAGAAACTATCTTATAATACTAAAACATAATAAGTGAGAATGACGCAAGACTAATCAAGAGATTGGTTGTGAATTGTATCCGCTGATTATAGGAACAAGCACACGACGACGAGCCACACACGCACACAAGTTCGACTACTGATAAGTAAAAAAAAAGCAATACATATATGCATTGAAGAATCATCACTCAAATAAGGCATTTTTTATATGTACACACACATTTATACACTGTGAATCTATTCGTGATTAAATCAATCAATCAATAATTTGTAAAAGAACTTCAAAACTTCAATACCTGAATCAGAGGCATCTTCAACTGATTTCCAGTCTTTCATGAGATTCATCATCCCCCTTACTCTTGACCTCGAATACTTGGCGTCAGATTTTCCCAACTCTTCAAGAAGCTCACTCAAAACTTTGTGAAGTTCTTTTTCACATCGTTTGCGCGTCGGCCGACTGACAGATTTTTTCCGAGAAGGCGGTGGCGGCGGTTTCTCGGAAAATTTCTCGCATAATTCGCGCAACGACTCCACATCACCGCAGGCGAGCCCAAAACCTGGTTCGATAGTGCTGTACGTCTCTTTGCTTTTTTTGGACGACTTCGAAGAGGAACGTTTTCTCGACTTCGATTGGTGATTTCCCTTGGTCGTTTGGGAACGGTTGAAAGCTTTTGACTATGGTGAACAAAAATCTTTCGAAATTTAACACAAAAATTCCAGGTCCGCAAATTCTTATTCTTTCACCGCAACCCGTTGTTCACAAATATTTAAAAAGCTGTGCAAATGTTTTTCTTCTGAAATACATTGTTCTAGTTTATTTTGCTTGGCCAACGCAAAAAACCCTTTAATTTTGTTGCAAATCCCACTTTTTAAAGGCCGAGGCTCACGCGCAAAAACTCAGGAGAAAAAACCCTATTCATCATCGCGGGAATTCGCTGACCATTCAAAAATATCGGCTTTAAAAAGCAACTTTCAAGCCCTAAATTTTGCATATTTTGTATCCTCGAATAAAAAGAAAAAAAAACTTGATAAACATCGTAGATTTTGTTTACATCTAAAGTCACCATGGAAGTCATAATCATTAATGCAGTCCTTTTCTGAAATTTCTCCTAGATTTCGTCCAATGCACACAAAAGGTTTTAGAAATGAGTAATTTAGGTGTATGCATGCATGTACTTACGTTTGAGACCCATTTTCTATACCATTCGTTGAGAGCAGGCAGTTCATCCTGTTTGTAAATTCTGATGTCGGTGGCGTCAAAAATAGGAAAGTAGAGATACGAGGAGTTCTTAGCGTCGTAACCAAGATATGTTTCATTGTATGGTGTGGTGTCCGTATTACCAAGAAAGTCACGCAATTGAGGATGGTAGTCCTTTGAATGTAGCATAGATCAAGTTATTTTAATGTAGGTTTCTACCTATGGTTCATCTTCAGTTGATCTAGTTATTTTCATGACTGGCTTTAGAGGATGACGTATCTCAATATATTTCAGTCTCATAGGGGGTACAGCGCCCTATCAAGTGAAAAAACGTGATTTTATACTTTCTTTTTAAATTATCAAGTCACTTACCAAGCACTCGTCGCACAAAACCTTCAGTATGAGGACACGCTGATGCAAAGTTAAATCAATGTATGACTTTGTCTCTAACGGATTGACATCACCTATAAAAAGGAAGAAAATATGCATTTTCTATATATCCATGTATCAGTGCCGTCATTTGGTTCATAATTCCTTGTTTCACTCAAGATTAGCTTAGGATTAGGTCTTAGATTAGGTTTATGGTTGATTCCAAGCAAAAATCTAAGCTTAATCCTGAGCTAACTTCGAGGATTAAATCCGTTTTATTCAGGAAGCAGACATAAAAATAGGATTGTATCATTGTAGTGCTGTGGCTGATAGTTTTGTCCGTGACTTGGGAGAGCCCTATAAGCCTTGTAGAAATCCGTTCAATAACCAACCATTGCCATGCAGCAAAGATGGCAGACATTGGTGATACAACATGCATGTATATTACGAGCTAGAGTCTAACATGCATACTGTTCGTACCTAATACATCAAAGAATGCTGGGTTTAATCCAATCTGACGAGCAACCTGCAATAAAGAATGAATCAATCTTCGTCCCGAAGTACTTTGCTAAAACTTGCAAATAACTGTTTTCGAAAAATTCTTTCCATTAGCATTGCAAGAGCCTTATAATGTAAGCGATATACAATTCTAACCGTTTGTAGTTCTTCCTCTTGTTTGGCCAAATACCAAATATCCAACCGTTCTTTTAACTTCCTTTCCCAAACTTTAAACTTCATCGGCGCCTTCTTGTGAATGCTAAATGCAACGACGGCAATATTATCGTGTGATCCTATACAGATATAGGCTATCGCAACAAGAGTTACCCTTGTCAAAATGGGGAGTCTATTTGCTAATAAACTCGTGCAAATATACATAGACTACATGAAAACGAACCACTAGTATACATTTTTGCTTTCAAATTAAACCATTTTAATGAGACAGGTAACTATATGTGGCTATTTAGGCCTATGGTACACATGCAGCTTAACTGATCTCTGAGCTAACTCTGATGGCATGTCACTACTCACTATAATTTCAGGTCCTTAATGCCAGGTTAAGTAAAATGATCTCTGACTCTATATGTATCCATGCAAAGAATGTGTGTTTTGTACCTTTTGCGCTGACTTGGGGTGACAAGAAGAGATGTTAATATCCAGGCCATTTGCTGCGACTTGTTGGGAATAATTAATCCGTATTCAAATTCAGTGAAGTTTAGTTCAGGGAGATTTAGCGCTGGTTGAAAAAGCCAGAGAAAGCTGCCAATGGCTGGAATCTGAAATGTCATTTAAGTAGATTTAGTAATTAAATTATATATGCAGTGGAGATTTAGGGGAGCTTTGCATGGCAGTAAAAAGTCTGAGCAGTGAAGATTTAGCAGTTTAGATTTAGGGAATCTTAATTTGCAGTGAAGATTTATACAGCAGTGGAGATTTTGAAGATCAGTCCTGAACAGTGAAGATTTAGCAGTCTATAGACTGAGGGGATCTTAATTTGTCGGTGAAAATTCAGCTGTAAAGATTTAGAGCAGAGGAAGGAGTCCTACTGTCCTACGGCTCGCTCTTAAGGTGATCGCCCGGCCATTCTTAGCTCCTACCTCCCATATCGATCTCAACTCTCTCAACACGTCGGTCGTAAACATTTCGTTCTCCCATTTACCCAGTTCTACCATTAGCGCCTCGTTCGCCTCCCTTCGTTCCTTCTCCTTGATTCGTTTTATCTCTTTCTGATTTTCTTCTTCTTCCATCATGAGATGATTCATCAGACTCGAAGGTTCCTCGGGATTTATCCCGTTCATATGGTTCATGCGACCAGACCTTCGACGCCGACATCCATAGACTAATGGAAAAGAGAATATATTTTAACTCAAATCTTGCGGAAAAAGATTGACACGGTGGTGATTAATAATAGTACATGCATGTAACTCTATGACTAGAATCCATGAATATAATCTTAACTTTAATCCTAAACATGACTCTAACCTTATTCGCCCTTAAAAATAGATTAAGGAATAAATTCAATTTCATGAACATAATATTTTAATTTTAAACTTAAACCTGAACTCAGTGAAACTGGCCCTAAACCTCCACCCAATCAGTGATCTAAAGGATTAGATTGGGGATTATATTCCTGGAATCTGGACAAGCGTAAAAGAAAAACTGAAGCCATTATTAACCCAATTCAAAACGATGAATGCGGGCATGCGGGCCGGGAATCTAGTATACTAAACTGATCTGATATACCCATTGAACATTTATAGTATAATTTCTGGTTACTGTGTCTTTAGCGATATATTTACTGGAAATATTTAATTGTTCAATTTTGTCATAATTAAGGATAATTGTATCTCAAATTGATACATTTCCATTATCTTCGTAGACGTCCGGGTTCCTTATGGACCAATCAAAATTCGGCATTTTTGATCCGCTTCGAATGTATAAAATCGCTGAGCGAAGCATGTTTGGCCTTTTTAAAGTTTATTATGTTGGCAACAGTTGGCCGGTGGTAATAAGCGACTTGCACCCCCTAACCCTAACATTTCCACCACGAAACTCATTCACCCAACCCGAAAACCTTAATTCCCTTCCTGGTTTTGCTTTCGCACTTTCCTTTCCAATCCAAAAAAGAAAGTGCCCTTGTTAGCCGGCCAACCACACGTGTGATGACCCCGAGTCTCAAGCCTTGTGAAGCCCCCGACATTTATGTTGAGGTGAGTACTTCGTGTGCGACCTTTGCTTGGCTTATAGTACCGCTCGTGTGTTTGTTGACAACTAAATTAAAAGGTTAGCTCGTCTCGTGCCGGGCCTTTACCTCTTTGTGGAAATGGCCCTTGACGAGTTTTCCGACATCATTTTGTTTAACTATGGCCGCCGAGATGGTTGCAAACAACATGTAGTGATGTCGAGCAAGAACATCGCATACATTTATACTTCCAGAGTGTTTGTTTCACCCCCGTTTATTCATAAACGTAACTCCCGTTTATCCAGATTCAGAATTTCAAGGTTTTCGTTCCAAAACGCTAAAAATATTTATTCGTTTCAAAATATTGATGAGCTAGGCGCTATTTCATGATGGCCGCAAGCGTTTGATAAAATGCCTTCGGGCACTTTCATTGCTCGATTTAGTTTAAAGAGTCTTTGCCTCATAAATAATGGTAATTCACCTCGGTTGAAGTAGAGGGTTAAAATCATCTTTGAGATGCTGCCAAAATTTTATTAAGAAAGTCTATTTATAATGATAATTTTTAAAAAGATTTTGAGTCAAACAAAACAAATGCATTTGTGATATGATATAATATCCGATAAAATTATGCCACATTTGCATGATAATAATATAAGAAGATTTATGCATATCCCCTTATTTCTTGTAAATGAAAGGAGCCTTGCTCTATTTCATTTCTTATGTGATTTTACATTATATAACGCAAAGGAAATGCTTGATATAAAAATCTAAACTTTATCTGCCCAAAATATCTACATTCAGTGTTGAGTCGCTTAAATCGTGAGTATGCTTTTTATGTGTTCACATGGCTTATTTGTGGTCTCAAGATCTTCTTCCTAATTGATGAATTGTTTTATTGAATGAGTTTTTTAGGTTTGTATGTAGAGATTTTCCATAGAAATCAATGTAATGTTCAATGAAATGTATGAGATTTGACTTTAATAAAAGTTTAAAACTGGTGTTTATGTACGTTAGTTTCAATTTTATATATTATCAATTTTATATATTACTCATGAAGATATATATCACAATCCTGTGTTGAGGTATTTTACCTGATTCTTCAGCAAGATCCTGGGCAATATCCTTTCCTCTTCGAAAAGCCATGGTTGCTCTTAGAGTTACTTTTTCCCTCAATGATCTACAAAATCGTAATTTGCAGCATTAGTGTTCATGACAACCCCTGATTATTGAAAATATGGCAAATTATAGAAAATTACATGTTTGAATTTTTCCAAATATTTTGAAATCAATAAGGTTCATATTTAATGACTTCACTGCATTTTCCCATATATCCTAATACTGGAATTATTCCATGGCTATGAAGCACTGAGTACAAGTAACTTTGGTAATTAGAAACATATACATACATGCAGGGACATTATCCAGTTCAAAATCAGGTCAAAGGTGCAATTTCATTATGCATATTAGAAATTTTAAGAGAGAAGTATCGGTTTGATTAAAATAACTTTTTCATGGGAAGGTTTTCTCAAGTGTTTTCCTTATCTCATGTGTTTTCTGAACAATCATTTTGTGAGTACTTTTTTAGACCACAAGATTTTAAGTAATTTAGCTTGTAGGTACACCACGTAAGTATTTATATAAAAAGCTTTGGTCCATTAAGCTTTGAAGTATTATATAAATACTTACATGGTGTACCTACAAGCTAAATTACTTATCGACTGTCACCATGCAAACATACAAGAATATTATTACAAGATTTTAACCAATATACACTTAATGTATGCCCCAGAGGGAAATAGTGAATTTTGTTTTCCCTTGAGTCTCAATGTTTCCCTTGACTGTACATTATTAAGTGCTTTGTTATATTGGAACAAAAACATACATGTTACACAACATTTCATTAAAAAAAAATTTAACCTGCTTCCCTGGTGGGGAACATTGCATTTATTTAAAGAGTCATGTGATTATGAATGAACCGATCACATTTAAAATACACAGCACCTATATAACAACGTAACATGACTGACAATGGCACAAATGTTGCCATAACTATATCAATATGCCAGTTTTGAAAGATATTAAATGGCAGTGATTGTGCTTACTAGTATTAAAATTTGATGGATAATGTTGCAATAATTATTTCCTGTTTACCGTCAACACTGCTCACCTATTCAACAATGCTAACTTTTGATCAAGAATTTTTTCCAATTTGTGGGCAAGTTTCGATATCCAATGTGTGGATCCATTGTAACGATAACAATTCTCCAAGATTAACCGCATGTCCGATATAACTGCTGTGATGCTCTGGTAGTCATAACTCTTGAACTTACCTTCAACTAAAAATAAATAGTTGTAGACATTAATTAAACTGCTCAACTTAAATGTTTTCTGTCCTAGCTGTCCAACACTGTTGCAATTTTAATCCACAAATTCCTCTGAACAATTTGCAATGAATGTGAACATATTACAAATTGCATCTCACAGCTAAATTTGCAAGCAAGCCAATGTGATGATTGAGATTTCATTACCAGTGTAATTTTCTTGTATTTGAATTGCCAAATTGTTTATGGAAATTAAATCAAATGGCCATCAGACATAATGACTGGTTATACATTTTATAAATAGGATACTGCAAGATCAGGTAATTGGTCCTGAACATTATTCTTCCAAGAAAATTCAACTATTATTTACTGTAACCCAATATGCTATTATTCATATTGGCAAGTAATTTGTTACACTTGTTTTTAAATGATAAATAAAACTTAATAAATAAAGTGCCAGGCATGATCAAACTAGTGAAATACTCTTGGCTAAAGAGCTATACAAATGCTCCTCCCTAGATGGCCTAGGGAATTGTTTATTGGGAATAAAGCTGTTCTTCTGGTTTGTGGCAATGACCAGGTTAAAGCAGTTTTTAGAAGGAAGTGGTAGAAAGGGAAGTTTTAAATGAAATAAAAAAAGAAATGAATGAATGAATGGGTTTTTTGAAAAAAAATACAAACCCACACAGGGGGCACAATTTGCATGCCTTTACCATCGAAGATGCTATTTGTACAAAGAGAACAAGATCTGGAACAAATATTGTACGAATGAAAGAAAGAACAATACATGTTTCACTTACTTTGAGTGAAACTCATTGGTGTTTCAATTCTCGCATGGTAGTCCCAGAGATTCAAGCCTTCTACATCGACAGGCCGAACAAACGGATATGTTATAGATTTATACTGGTCTGACTTTAGTTCGTGGAATATTCTATACCCTTGTTGAACTTCGTAGCTAAACAAAGTCAAGTCGGGAACAAGTGGCTCGGGCACAGCAACAAACGGCTGGCTTGCTTCGACGTTCAAAACATCTATTTCTGATGAGTTTTCAATGAATTTTCCTGCGCTATTTTCTTCGCTATTGGTTCTTTCAACGGGAGGGTCGCATTTCCTGCCATCTTCCTGCTTTATATCTAAAGTTTCAGGCTCCATTTCGAGCTAGCGATTGCTTAAAAATTTCTCTCAGACAAAGCAATTTTTTCCCTCATAAAATTTCAACCGGTGTTTTCAATATTTTTGACTTTTGTCACAACACGCGCCGCGCGTGACCTTGGCGTGGGAATTCCCGCAGGTTCAAAACCCCGTCGGAGAAAAAGACTGTAGTAAAATATAGTAATTCCGTACTTAGAGAAAATAAAAAGAAATAAAAGGACAGTTTTTGTGGACGCTGTGAACAATTTTTTATAAACCTAAGTCTTTCCTATGGATAAAAAGTAGTTCATATCTTTAATAATGTTTCTAATTGTTAAAAGGTTGCTACCGGGTACATAAACCGTATCGAAAACCATGATGCTTTGCGTGCGTAAGCAATCCTAAAAATGCTCTTAAAATGATGAAAAAAGCCAGTATGTTGAAATTAGTTGAAGAAATTATTATTTCAAAATATGTTTAACTTTGTGCGGTCTTAATATTTACGATAGTGCAGAAATTTATAGCAATTGGCGATTTTAAACGGGGGGAAATATCTCGTAGTGGTCCGTCGTGCATTGCGGGAATTGTTGCGGGTAGATTGCTTCTTGCTGGCTGAGGAAGAAAAAGTAAAGGCATTATTTTGAATTCGGGCAGAATTTCGCATTCAGGAAGCAACCTTTTCTCAACCTGACGGGCAAAATTCCTGCATTCTATCTCCCAGAAAAGAGGTAGGTTAAAATACGAGGAACAGAATCGCGAACGAAACCAATAACGGGTGAAAAATTTGCGATGCATTTTTTATACGAAGCGTATTTTATCGACGACACGTGTAAATATATTGAGTTTTAGTATTTATCGAATTCAAGAGGTTATATTTTAGATTTACATTTCCGCAATCGTTTTAATATTTGTTCGACAAAGTTCCTACGATATGGTTTACGTAGTGACGTGGTCACGTTTTGGTGCATTGTGTTGAGAAAAGATTTTGAAGATATTTTTAAAATTTATGTGTTTGTCTATGTTTACAGATGGACTTACATATGTTATTTTGTTGTCTGACGGCTTCAAAAACGTGATTTTTCCTCGCAAACTGCAGCTGTTAACCCATCAGGCTAAAACTAGAGGAGGTTGAAATTTCCTGAAATTAGAACATTTGAGGAAACTTCCTGCATATCAGAATGAACATGGCCAAATAATTGGCTGTTTTTGCCCAGTAGATCTTATCACACCGCCCAAATTATACATAGACAGAATCATGAATCATCTATTCAACAGACTGCCTGTGAATTTTTTTTCTGGGCTTGTTTGTCTATTGTCTGTCATGATTAAGGCCCATGTTCTTTTTCCATGAAACAGTTTATTTAATTTTAGGAATTTAGGCTGTAAGTATAAATACTTATTATTCAGTCTTATTATTCTTGCAGAACAGATACTTAAAAATGACAGCTTTTGGATGACTGAATGTTAGCTTTAAGTCCAATCCTTTGAGTTTATTGAGAATGGCTTGTAAAGTAGCTTCATGTCAATTAAATCTCATTCCAAGTTAATAGATCTTGGAAATGACATTGACAGATATTTTTCTCAATGAACCATGGACTATCAATTACCTTTCTCTGACATGTGAAATCCTTTGAGGTCAAAAGTGGCATAACCAGAGTTGTGATTTTTCGAGGGCGGGGGACGGGGGATTAAGCACTTGTTGGAAAGATTTTAACAGCGCACAATCCTAAAACCTGTACTTTGTACATGTTTTTCAACAGTAGTCAAGAGAGGTAGGATGCCAACCTCTTTTACGTATTAGGTATGCCACTATTTCAACAAAATAAAACATTAATGAATGCACATTTTCCCACTTGGAGACAGGAGTCTAATCTGTTTTTTTGTGTATGTGGAAGCTTTATATTTGACATGCATTTAAAAATTTCAAAATATCCATGTATTTATGAAAAATAAGAGATTCATCGCATTATAAGGACAAAACTATACCAAAAATAAGAAAAAACGTGAACAAGTGTTTAAAACTAACCAGGAGCATTTGCACAAAAAACTGCAACTTTCTCACGAGTCTTTCTGTTAATGCAAGCTAGACCCAACAACAGTAGAGCCTACTAAGTCTTAGAACACTCTTAACTCGAGTGGGTTTTTTCACTGAATGATAAAAATTTTACCTTTTTTTTCAACAAGTGCAGATCAAGCCAACACATAAATCACAGTTTAGGAAATAAACAGTAGGTCCACTTTTGTGTGACACATATCTTAATGATGCATTATGGGCAGGTTGTATAACTACAATTTGCTTAGTTAAATCCTAGTCAAATCAGAAATACACAATTCTGATTTGCCAATCCTGTCCTTAACTACAGTTAAAAGTCAACAAGCTTTTTATACAACTGGGCCCAGAACTTTGAGTGCCTGTGTGGCCTGCAGCTGATTAAATACACTACGTTGTAACAATGAAGTAACATTTCTGTTCAGTCCCTGTACAATATTGGCAAACAACTCTTACTTATATCTCATCAATGACATCACAACTCACAAGCACCATGTCCAATCTCGTTCCTTGTAAAAGATCATTACTTTGTCACATGTTATTAATGATGTGGTTTGTGGCTTTGTGCATGTTGGTTTTGCAAATCCATCAAATTGCATCCACCCTTCATGGCCTTCAAGCTTCCATTTATTTAAACAATCTTTCTCTTGTGCATGTGGGCACATTTCAACAGTAATGGCGCATGCTCACTGTATGTGAGCGCGACTTTGGGTCCACGTGCAGCGAAAGCTTAGTTTTAGTCAGTCTAAATTCACGCTACTACAGATTAACTAACACATTTTTAATTCTTCGCGTTCAAATTTACTCGTATATTTTTTCTTCGTGAAATTAGTTGCATATTTCTCTCCTGCATTGAGGTTTCCAAATTTATGTGAATTCCTCGTTTTACCGCATTTTAAATCACAATTAAACCGCGAAACCAAGAAATTTCCGTTTCAAATGTCGGCAGTGTGGGAATTAACGGAGTGGAGAATAAGGATTTGAAACAACTCACTAAAAGTCAACAACGCAGGCTCCGACTGCCAGTATGAATAGCTAAATTCATTAAAGTGATCCTATGCATGATCAAAACAGTTTTATATCGTTATTTAACAATGAGACATAAAGCACAAAGAACACTTATCTACAACGTCAATGATATGTTGCAGACTGAATAATTGAACCTGTCCGGTGAATTGCACATCTATGTTTCTTATTATTTAGTTCGCCACAAACGACAGAATCTTAAGAAGAAACTTCCAAAATGATACCAAAAATCGACCAACATTTATATAAGGCATTTTTACAGTTAGTGTTTCATAATAGTGAAATCTGGTAAAACTGTCCATTTTTAAGGCAACGCAAAAATTTGAAATTCGAGTTTTCCGAGTTTTTTCCTTCGGCCATAAACATTCGTCAGCATTTGTCACAAAAAGTTTCAAAAGAATGGGGGGGAGGGGCGATGTGGTTTTTTGATTTTTCCAGAAGGATAACTTCGACTCAACCTCGATTTCCGAGAAGAACCGTGACTTTTCAGTTTTTTCCCAGCATATCTTTAAGAAATAGAATTTTCATTTTAAAAACTCGCCTTGCTATGTGTTTTCATTGGTTTTATTAAACACAAGACTAAATAAACGAGATTTGTGAAAGAAACTACTGCTCATCAGGCTTTGAATGCGTTGTTTACAGTTTTGTTTGTAATCATTTTGTTCAGGTGAAAGACGGTATGGATAAAAAAACAGAACAAGAGATGACTGATACAAACGTCGCTGAGACGACAGAAGAATGTCTCGAGAATGGAAGTGGTAGTGAAAAATCACAAGACGATACACTTGGAGAAGTAGTTAGCATAAGTACCACCTTGGCGCAGAACACTGTCCCGAACGTGGTTTTCAGTGAAGGTAACAAAACAGAGGGAGAAGATATGGTGTTCACTGTTGTAGCCGTGGACAGTAACATTGATGAGTACGTGGAAATGAATTCTGAAACCCTTCCCCAGGAAGTTCAACTCAGCTTAGTCCAACCACCGGCGGAGTCAGATACTGGTGGTAACAATTCCGACAGGTTATCGGATATAAACCAGCTCGCCTTGATTGCAGCCAGCATCGAAGAAACCCCAAAGCACGCCAACGTAACCAGCCCCGAGGATGCGCAGGAAAAAAGCTCTGAAATACCAATGGTCGAATTGGAGAACTCGAATACCCCTCGGCAAGCCAAACCGAAAAACTACCAAGATTCGGCAGGAGCTCAGAAAAATGTAAAAGGCAGAGTGGTCTGTACCATTTGTGATCAAAATTTCTCAGATCTTCCATCAATGAGGCGCCATCGCTTGATCCACTCCGAGGAGAAGCCCTACCAGTGTGATTTTTGCGACAAGGCATTCCGGCGTAAGGATAACCTACGAGAGCATCGGAACATTCACACCCAAGAACACGTGTATAAATGTGACCGGTGCGGCAAGACCTTCCCACGAAAGTACACTCACAAGGTGCACATGTCGAGGTTCTGTATGAAACCAGGAGAGGTATCGGGGATTGGCGACGAAACCTGGACGACCACTTCCGAAAAAGCAGCTCACGTGAAAACGAACATGGTCGCGACTAAGACTTCAGAACCGTGCCATATTTGTTTCAAAACCTTTCGAGATGCATCCACCCTGAAGCGCCATTTGCTAACCCACTCCGACGAGCGCCCGTATAAATGCACGGAATGCGACAAGGCATTTCGTAGAAAGGACCACCTTCAGGAACACGTGATAGTGCACAAGTTAATCCGTCCCTTCAGCTGCCAAACTTGCGGGAAGTCGTTTTCAAGAAAGAACGGACTCAAGACGCATATGATACGAACAACCCATCTGCTTGGATTCGATGACATCGTTATACCTGAGCAGCCGAAGGATTCTGAGGGAGTAGCTGTGGACGTTGTTGAGCAAGTGCTTGCAGCTGATCAGTTAGTGGCTACTACAAGCGAAGTATTTCCCGAAACCTCCCAAGGAGAAAATGTCACCAGCAACAATGAGCAGTCTACGTCAGCTGACATTTCATCGTCTGGACAGTCAAAAAGTTCAGATAATGTCGCAGTGCATGTGGTCGAACACGTGCTTGAGGCTGACCAGTTAGTATCCGCCACAAGTGAGGTGTTTCCTGGAAACTCCCAAAGCGACAAGCCAACTGGAAATACCGATCAATCCGCATTGAGTAAAGGTACGAATGGAAGCAACTTCCAGCCTGAAGGCAATGATCGAGCGCGAAGTACAACTGTGACTTTGGAATTCTCCAAAGTGCCAGCAAATTCCGAGAATCCGACAGAATCTGAGACCACTGTAGTAATTTCAGAGAAAGGTACTGAGCCAAACGAATTAGACAACCTCGAAAACGTTGAACCGATGGACGATTCAAGCGCACAAGACGTAGAATCCGTTGTGATCAAGTCGATTTTCTGTCCTAGCTGTAACGGGACGTTCCCAGGTAAAGTTGAACTCTGGGAGCATTTCCAACAACACATTGACGAGGGGATGTTCGCTTGTGAGCTTTGCTTTGAAATCTTTGTTAGCACGGAGCTGTTGCAAGAACACCAAAAGAATTGCGACCCTTCCACAGTAGGGGGTAGTGATGAAGGTGACGATGAAAACACCGTAAGTAACGAAACTGTCGGTACCCCGGAGAAAGACCGTTCCACGCCAAACTCGAGGAAAAGAAAAAGGACAAACACTGCCGAAAGAACTGATCAAACGTGCACTGTTTGTAATAAAGTGTTTCGGGATACCACCGCTTTGAAACGACATGCTTTGGTTCATAGTGGAGAACGTCCACACGCATGCGGTGAATGTGAAAAACGTTTTCGACGTCGCGATCATCTGAAGGCGCACGAAATTGCCTACCATAGCGGCATAACATCGCACGAGTGCAAGACGTGTGATGCAGCGTTCAATACAAGGTACGCACTAACAGTTCATGCAAAAACCTGCAAGAACCGACCGTCGTCGCCAAAGGAACCCGTCTCCCAAGAGGTCAAGCTTATTGGCAGCCCCGAATCAAAGCAATGTCCCATTTGTCACAAGATATTCAAAGATCCGTCAACCCAACGACGCCATTTCCGAATCCACTCCGACGAACGCCCTTTCCATTGTGATATCTGCTCCAAGTCGTTCCGACGAAAAGATAACTTGAAAGAGCATTTGCTTTGCCACTCGGAAGAGAAGCCGTTCTCTTGCGACCACTGCGGGAAATCCCTGTCCAGACGTAGTAGTCTCACCAATCACATGAACGTTTGCCCCGCGAAAAAGCTAGGAATCGGCGCAACTATGGCAAACTCCGAGAACCCCATCATACCGGAAATGCAATTCACCCAGTCCGCCGTGCAAGAAATGTGTGTCAGCGGTAATCCACAAGAAATTTCCGCCGCCCATCTCCTAGCAACGGGTCTGGCGACCTCTGTGACGTCATTAGACGTGACGACATCTGGAGTGACGTCATCTGAAGTTGCTCCTTTGGATGACGACATAGAACACGGGCTGCCGGATGAGGATGACGGAAGTGGAAACACTTTCCCGTGCGAGGAATGTGGCAAAGTTTTTCGCGCCAAATGGACCCTGAAGTTCCACCAACGTATTCACAGCGGGGAAAAGCCGTACACGTGCACAACATGTGATCGACAATTCCGTCAGTCAAGCCACCTTAAGATCCACGAGCGCACCCATTCCGGAGAACGACCGTATCAATGCCAGGTTTGTGGTCGCGCATTTATCGATTCTTCGACCATGAGACGACACGAGCGCCATCACAAGGAAGCCGCTGACCCGAATGCAGTCATTGATGACCAACATGACGTTATTACTACTGAAGACGAAATTATTCACTCCCAAGGTGACGTCATTAGTGCCCAAGATGATGTAATCAACGCCCAGAGTAACGTCAACGATCAAGATTACGTCATCAGTAACCAAGTAATCGAAGATTCACACCAGATCATAGATAACATGAATGAGAGCGAGGCTAACGTAGTCCAGCAAGCGGTTGAGGTCAGTCTCGAAGAAGGCGCGATTCAACTGCTCGTGACAACAGCCAATGAACTCGCGAACTCTAGCCAACCAATCAGCACCAATGTTGTTCCAGGCATGAACCAATCAGACGACGGGACGAGACTAGATGAAAGTAACCTCAGACAGATCTTGAGAGAGTGCATAAGGAATCAGACGATTTCTGCGGAAAAAATCGAAACATTGGAAGGTATAAACTGGCAGCAAAATCCGACGAACGAAGGCGTTGAACAATTGATATACATTCAAACTGAGGAGAGCACTCAGACCGAGTAGAAAGAGGTCCATATATGAACTAGCCTTTAGATAAATAAAGAACACAAGAAGACTTCATGAAGGAGCCATTGTTTAAAAACACAAGTATGACTTTTGAGTGGAATATAATTTTATCGAAAATGATTTGATTATAAACCAATTGCAAATTAGACAAAATTTTAAAAAAGGAACTTTAACTTGCTTTCCTAACATAGCCCGGAAGGACGTCAAACGAAAAACAATTTACAGACGTATGAAATTTCGTCAAAATGCATTCGGTCGCTATTTCCAAAATGGGACGAAAGCGATTCTACCGAATTTGACTTTGTAAAACACCAGCAACTGACTTGTACGAATCTTTTTTAGTTTTCTTGTAAAAGTGTGTTAACACTTAACAAGTACTTATTTAATGTATGTAAACGCCTGTATTTGAATGTATTTTTGAGTGGTTTCGCTAAAGTGATCAGCGATTTGTGACACATAACGGTCAATGTGAATTGACCTCGATATTGATTCACTGGTTGTGATATGCAAGCCGCTGAAATTCTAGGCCAAATTGAGCTCCTCAGAATTCGAGTCCGATCAAAATATGAGGTCAGGCTTAGGTCAGACTCGGATCCGTACTAGCGTTGTAAACATGACTTTTCTAAAGTGCACGTGCATGTGATGTGAATCTACCGCTAGATCAGAAAAAGTAATTGCCACGCATTTTCCTGCAAAATATTATACACAATTTTACGCTCGTGGCGAGGGCTACAGATCATTAAAACATGTGATTGCCAAAATTATTTACAGAAATATAGTGTATGATAAAGAATATAAATGTCTTAAAATATAATAAGACAAGGTTCGACAATTTTAAATCTATCATTTTATGCATGCCTTTCTTGTAAAGTTTCTATAGTTAATTTGTTTCAAATATGTTCAGAGAAGCCTAAACATTGATTGTGTCATTGCCGAAAACACGTTCCCAATATCCTGTATTGACGAATGAATCTGTTAGAGCCTGGTGAGCATAAGGTCTATCCTCAATCTTGTGATTAATCAGCCAGGACACAAACTTTCGGGCTTTACGATCACCAAGTTTCTTTATGTTCACTTGATTTCCTTCAGAAATATTCTTCATTTGATGTAACGAAGAACCAAAAGGGTGTTCGCCTTTGGTTAAGATGAAGAAAGCGATCATACCCGCAACTTGGACGTCCGATTTCTTCCCGAAATGACCTTTTTCTTCTCGTCCAAATGCTGAGATTACCTCTGCGGGCATCCATCCCTCTGTACCTGCAGCTTGGGTTTCAACTTTTGTTTCGTCCTTTTTTAGAATCCGGCTTATTCCAAAGTCCGCCAATTTCAAGTGACTCTCGACATCTACCAGAATGTTTGATGGTTTGAGATCTCGGTGCAAAATTCCTATACCATGAAGAAATTCAAGCCCGGATAAAATTTCTTTAATCAACCGTGGACCATTCTTTTGTAGATATTTAATACTTTGAAAATCAACAAGTTCTCTCAAGGTTTCTTCACAAAGATCAGCGATAAGATACATGAAGGTGTCGTCTTTATGAAAATGTCGATAACTTGCTATAAACGGGGAATTATTTGTTTCTATGAGACTCTTAATTTCCTTTTCGTTTTCAGCTGTTTTAGCCCCACTTTCTAAAACCACTCTCTTAACAGCAACTTCACTTCCATCCTCCATGAGACCAACATAGACACACGAACCATGAGAACCAGCGCCAATTTTCAGTTCACTTTTTGCGAAAAAAGCCTTCATTGGTATTTTACTCTATTAAAAATAAAAAGGTTAATATCTTAAAATATGACGAATACTTTAATTTTCAGAATCGTCCCAAGAGGTTTTTAACTCTCATACTGAAAGTAACTGTTAGCGAGAGCACTTAATTCTGCATTGTAACTTAAATCTAGTAGCTAAAACTGTTTTAGTTCGGGTCACCCAACTCATTTGCGTTTTTGAAAATCTCTGTTGCTGTATAGCAACGGTTGTCGATCAGGCACGAGTTGTGAATAGGTTTTCTCGCTGGACTTGTTACCTCTAGATATACGCAATTTTGGTGTTCTAGCGAAACATTTAGACGCTCAATTTGCCTGTTCATAATGTGCATTTAAGAAATTGTAAGGAGCTACGTTCGAGCGAGAATAAATGGCATCTAAGTTGATCGATCGTTGAATGATTACTGATGTGTCTTGAATAGGAATTGTCAGATAATGCAAGTCTGAGTTTCATCAGTACTGCACATGCACACGTTGATAGAACTCTATATCTCAAAAAACATTTGTAAAGTATCACCTTTTCTAACTGGTTGCAATTCATTGCTTTTAACATCTGCATTTTCTCACGATGTTTAATTGACATTTTGAGAATAGTTGTAATTTCATCATGACCATGGTGAATACTGCATTCCAGAAGATTCATTTGCCTTCCGTCAACAAGGAATGTTCCAGAATTTCTTATATCGATGTTTTTTTGCAACAAAATATTGAGCAACAGCGCGGAGTTTTTGACAACAGCCATTCGTAGGGCGTCAACACCAAGACTACTACCAGGCGTTATGTCAGCACCTTGTTCAACTAAGTACTCAACAACGTTTAATCCACCACTTGCTACAGCAAATTTCAGAACTGTGTGTCCGTCTGAATTCTTCTGATTTATATCAGCACCGTGTTCAACTAAAAATTTGACAATGTCACTGTTATTATCAACAACAGGAGTGCATGGAAGTGTTTCTACGTGACTATCTTTGCCATTCACATTTGCACCCTGTTTAACCACATATTCTACAATATCTTGTACACCTTCAGCAGCAACAACGTAGAGATGTGTCATTTCATCAGTATCCTTGCAATTTACAATAGCACCGTGTTCAACTAAATAATTTACAATGACAGGTACACCTTTATCAACAGTGATGTACAGAACTGCCAATCCATCAGAATTCTTTCCGTTTCTTTCAGTACCATTTTTAGCTGAACATTTTACAGTGTCGCGTAAATATCCATCGACAGAAAAGTGCAAAACTGTCCTGCCATTAGAATCCTTGCTATTTACATTTGCACCCTGTTTTACTAAATATTTGACAATGTCAAGTTCACCTCGAGCAACAGCATGGTGTAGAGCTGTCCAACCCATGGCATCCTTATGATATACATCAGCACCCTTTTCTATTAAATATTTCACAATGTCTAGTACACCTTGAGCAGCAGCATAATGTAAAGCTGTTCGGCCATGCTCATCGTTACAATTTACATCAGCGCCACAGTCTTCAACGAAATACTTGACAATTTTAAATGAACGAGAATAATAAATGGCATTGTAAAGGCAAGCTATGTAATTTTGAAAATAATAACCAGGATATTGTTTAATGAAGGCATCATCTAGTAAACCATGCTTTGCTGCAATCCATAAAACTGTTTCATCATCCTTGGTCTTAGAGAAGATGTCTGCACCATAATGAACCAAAGAATCCAATGTTTCTGTATCTTCTGGACTAAACTGAAAAGCACGCAAAAAATTCGTCTTCTTCCAATGATTACTTTCGTTTTTGTCGTCTACAAACTCGACTCTTAACACATCCCAAATATGGAGTTTCCTGTCGTCTTCACTGATATCGATAATTCCACTTGCTTCTTGGTTTTCATTAATATCTGTTGGATATGTATGTAATATAGGTGATCACGCAATGGAGAGTACAATAGCCTTCTGAAGTGCTTACGTCACACAGTTTTCTATCTATACAATTTTGTCCCACTTGTTTCCCAGATTGCATTGCGATTCATTGTTCGAGACCGACATGACGTAAGCACCTCAAAGGTCTATTCGGGATTAATAAATAGTACAATTGAAGCTTGAAATTTTGCTAAAAGGGCGAGCTGACATTTTGACCTAGGCAAATCTCGATAATAATTTTACCATCGAAACAACATAAGCGAAGTTTCGTTTCGAAAGGTTGGAAAAATTAGCACATGCTCCGAAAGAATTCTAGTATATTCATATCTTTAGTAAAACTTGACATCCGCGTCGTTGATTTGGTGCATTTTCAGGTATTCGCGCGGACACGAGTGGACGCCGAAAATGCAACGAATGCGATAAGACGTGCACGCATAAAGTTTTAAAGCTGCAACAAAATGTTTGCAGCTAAGAAAGAATCCGGATACGTGTAGTAAAAAATATACAAAATCTAAAAATGTCACACTCTCAAGCTGTTGAAAAAGTATTGCCAAAATTTGTTTAGATCAAAAACTTTGTTTTATACGCATCGGGTTCTGTTAAGACCGCATGGAGCGGTGTGACACGTTATTAGTGTCACTATATGTATAGGTAATAGTATAATTTCGAGTGCAATTACGGATATACAAGCACGAGTGAGTTTTTAAAGGCTGCAAAATAGCGCGAGTCCGAAGGACGAGCGTTATTTGCAATCTTTAAAAACTCACGAGTGCGTGTTTATCCGTAATTGCACGAGAAATTATACTATTACGTATTAATGATATGCAAGGAAATCTTCGAGAATATATTTGTAACAGGATTTTGCACTGTTGTTACAGAATTTTGCACTGTTGTTATAGAAATTTGCACTGTTGTTACAGAAATTTGCACTGTTTGAGATTAACTGCACTGAAATCAACCAATCAGAGTCGAGAAACATTTCCTTGTATATTATTACGACCGTAATTCGACAATCTTGCCTTACCTCTCCTGAAAAAAAATTTGAAACTGTCATCACGGCCAACAACAACATCTCCACAACTGTTATCAGCAGATAGACAAATAAACATATCTTCGTCCAATAACAATTGGAAAGGATGTTTAGGCAAATCCTCACCAATAGATCTAGACTTCCGAGAAGCCACTTTAGGCCAGTGTAATATTGGTTGAAAAGTACGATCAGTGAGCTTAATTCCTGGCCAGACAAGCACACGTGAATATTTTGCGCTGAATTTCGAGGCATATTTAAATAGCATATTATTGATTAACATAACAGACTTGACTTTATCTTCCCGTTCAGTTTTTCTGAACAATGACTTGATTCCACCGTTGAGATACACCGAGAATATTTCTTGAATGGCAGGTAGGCTGTGGAACTCCTTCAAAAACGACAGGCATCCTATGATTGCGGTTTCAGGACTTTCGAGACCTTCCAGTAACTCCGAAACGACTCGTAGTTTAGCTGCGAATATTATAGCGTTGATACTGAGCGCTTTGTTACAAAACGCGTCCGTTGCTCTCGTACGGGAATGCTTAAATCGCTCTTTAGCGGCTTTAAACCCTTCATCTGAGTTGATTCTTAATTCTCCCATAATAAAGAAAAACTCTAACGCGTCATTCATAATTCCAGATTCAACACCGCTCGGCAATGCTCTTGATGCTTCCCCAATGTTGTCTCCAGTTCCGTACTTTTCAACACCTTTTCGCCCCAACTTTGATTTGCCAAAAGAAACATTGAGTAAATCGAGTCCTTCCTGCAGGAAACGGTAACTGCTGAGAAGATCTTTGCGCGAAAGATGATCAAGTTTTGTAATCACCGCTTGCAAGTCACTCTGCATGATTTGGCAGCTACTTTTCGCTTTTGTGGCACTGTCGTCTTTGAATTTTGCCCTGTTCCACAACAAACAGTTGCAGTTAAAATGGCTGATCTCTGTGGCAACAAGCAACCACATTCATGCGCAGAGTCGTTGCCACCAGTGGCCGCGGAAAAAGAAAATAATAATGCCGAACGAGAATATATGAAAATTAGCTTCATCACACATAATGATCTTTCGCAGCCATTGTATACTGCAACGCGTAAAATTTACCCAAAATATAGATAATTCAAAAACTAAAGAGCAGCGTGACAGCTTCTTTAAAATTGCTCTTGTGTGAGACTGGCATGAAATTACTACAGACCTTTTTGAGGTCGATTGAGAAGTCGACGAACTACCACCAAACGATACAACTTCCATAGCCGGTAAACGTCGCTTTATATTTCATTTGCGACCCATATTTTGATCTTAAATTATCTTCAGACGTATATCATTCATGGAATTTTATAAAATATATAGAAAATTATATTTACTCGATCAGTCAACGGTCAAATTAAAGCGAGAAATTTTCCTCACTCCTAGAGCTTTCGCCATATTGTTATCTTCTCGGCCAGCACCATTAGGACTGGTACAAGAGAATCAATTCTCTAAATTGGTCGGGGTTAGTAACCTGCCTACTATAAAGACTGCCGCCTGCGACCAATCTTTTAGACAATATACTAGGAGAATTCTGGCGAAACGGGTGCATCCCCGGCTTACATGAATTATTATAAACAATCATGATTCTGAAAGAATGTTTCATAATTCATAATCTAATTCATAATTCATAATTTTCATAATCATAATTCATAATCATAATTCATAAGCTCATGCGTTTGACTGTTTAGCTAAGCTATGGGAAAATTTAGATTCTCTCACTCGCAGACTAGCCACCATTTTGTGCGGGAGGGCCCAGTCCGCCCAGATCATATGTGATTGAAAAATTCATGTATTTACAAAACTATAAATCTCGTTCTTGATTTTGGGATGTTCCCATATTGTTTTAAATAACCTGTCTCAGACCTGCCTGAATTATTCGAATAATTATGATACTTTTAAACATTACGTCTTAAATGATCGCGGACAAATTAAATACAGTAATATGAAGTTACTGCATGAAAGAAAACATGACTGTGCGTCGATAATGAACGTACAACTACAGAATTTTTCCATCATATGTGGTCAGCATTCAGCATATTCTAGACAGACCGACATGCATATTTGAAGACAAGTTATTTGAGAAAGCTATACCACCCGCCCAATATATATGAGGTACCTTTGTAGATGTATCCTACAAAATTCTGTGTATACAACCTGCTAAGCCGTTTCCATTTCGCCCGTATACATTCAAGCCCAATTTAGATTTGATTTCCACTTGCAGAGAAATGGTTCGCTAGCAAAATACTTACATTTTGCCAAGTCCAAATATTCGTTTCAATTTGATACTTTTTTACTTGATTTCGTAAAGTTAGTGCAATCACATAGGGATACTTGAGGATAATGAGGGATGGGGATACATGAGGATAATGAGGGATAGGGATACATGAAAATAATGAGACGGGGAAAAGCTCGATAGATGATGAACTTTTTTATGACGGATTATCGACGCTGACAAAAATCACAAAAAATGCATAGTGAAAATGACAGATTATATAACGTTTATTAGTGTCATACGTGTGTAGTTCACGCCACACATTAACCGTTTACTGCCCCAAATGAAACGAACAAAGCTCTTCTATACAGACTCAGACTAGATATATTTAAAACCTAAAGTAGGATACACTAAAATGTATACAAATTTACAACTCGAAGTCCATTCCATCGGACAGCACGGATGTAGGAATACGCATGCCGAACTTTCTAATTTTCACATCTACATCTAGTTACAGTTACAACTTTTTATAAACAAAGGTAGCTCCGTCTTCCACATCCTCGGGATCAATTCGTGCGGAAGCTGCAACTTTCTCTAACAAACTCATATTTCAAAAAAATGTCTTATCACCTTTAACATTTTCTTAATGTTTTGAATTCGATTAATCTGCATTGAGGAAAGAATCTTTCAGAGCCTCGTGAGCATAAGGTCTATCATCAATTTTGTGACTAATCAACCACGACACAAACTTTCGAGCATTACGATCACCAAGATTCTTCACGTTCATATGCACAGGATTTCCTTCAAAAATATTTTTCATTCGATCTAGCGAAGAACCAAAGGGGTGTTTACCTTTAGTTAAGATGAAGAAAGCGATCATACCCGCAACTTGGACGTCCGATTTTTTTTTATAACGGCCCCTTTGTTTCCCTCCAAATGCCGAGATTACCTCCGCGGGCATCCATCCCTCAGTACCAGCAGCTTGAGTTACAACTGTTGTCTCGTCTTTCCTTAAAACCCGGCTTATTCCAAAGTCTGCCAATTTCAAGTAACCTTCGACATCTACCAGGATGTTTGATGGTTTGAGATCTCGGTGCAAAATTCCTATACGATGAAGATATTCAAGCCCGGATAGAATTTCCTTAATCAGCCGTGGACCATTCTTTTGTAGATGTTCAATACTTTGACAGTCAACAAGTTCTTTCAAGGTTTCTTCACAAAGATCAGCGATAAGATACATAAAGTTGTCGTCTTTATGACAATGTCGATAACTCGCAACAAACGGGGAATTATTTGTTTCTATGAGACTCTTGATTTCCTTTTCGTTTTCAGCTGTTTTGGAGCCACTTTCTAAAAACACTCTCTTAACAGCAACTTCACTTCCATCCTCCATGAGACCAACATAGACACTGGAACCAAGAGAGCCACAGCCAATTTTAAATTCACTGCTTGAGACAAAAGCCTTTAATGGTATTTCACTCTATGAAAAAATAAATGATAATATATAATAAAATTACGGCATATATCATGCAACCTACAGATATGGGTAACGCAGCACGTAGGTTGTGGACGTAGGGAAAAATTTCACTTATTATATGTCGAACAACACCTTATATGATTTCTTAACATAATTATGTTTCTGAGAAATATTTCTATATTATAATTACCTCGTCTAACTGGTTGCAATTCCTTATTTCTAACGCCTGGATTTTCTCGCGATGTTTTGTGGACTTTTTAAGAATAGTTGCAATTTCATCATGGCCGCGGTAAATACTCCATTCCAGAAGATTCATTTGCCTTCCGTCAACAAGGAATGTTCCAGAATTCCTCACATTGAAGTTTCTTTCCAACAAAAGCATGAGTAAGACAACGGAATCTTTGAGAACAGCCATCTTTAGGATGTCGACGCCAAGTCCATTCCCAGCAGTGATGTCAGCACCTTGTTCAACTAAATACTGAACAGCGTTCAATAAATCATTCTCCACGGCAAAGTGCAGAACTGTTTGCCCAACCGCATCCTTGGATTCCATGTGAGCACCTAATTCGATTAAACATTTGAAAATATCAAGTACATCTAGAGCAATAGCAAAGTGCAGAACTGTCTTCCCACTGGTAGTTTTGGCATTCACATTAGCACCTTGTTCAACCAAATATTTGACCATATCAAGTACACCTTGAGCAACAGCAAAATGCAGAACTGTCTGTCCGGCCACATCCTTACCATTTACATCAGCACCTTGTTTAACTAAATACTTGACAACGTCAAGTACACCATGAGTAACAGCACATTGCAGAACTGTCTGTCCGCCCGCATCCTTTCCGTTTACATCGGCACGTTGGTCAACTAAAAGTTTGACAACGTCAAGTACTCCTTTAGAAGCAGCAAAGTGCAGAACTGAATTCCCGACAAAATCCTTGCTATTCACGTCAGCACCTTGTTCAACTAAACATTTGACAATTTCAAGTGCACCTTGAGTAACAGCAAAATGCAGAACTGTCTGTCCGATCCCATCCTTGCCATTTACATCAGCACCTTGTTCAACTAAATATTTGACAATGTCAAGTACACCATGAGTAACAGCACAACGCAGAACTGTCTGTCCGATCCCATCCTTTTCATTCACATCAGCACCATGTTCAACTAAATATTTGACAATGTCAAATAAGCCTTCAGCTATAGCAACGTGCAGCACTGTCTGTCCGACCCCATTCTTTCCATTTACATCAGCATCTTGTTCAATTAAGTATTTGACAATGTCAAAAACACCCTGATCAACAGCAAAGTGCAAAACTGTCTGTCCGACCCCATTCTTTCCATTTACATCAGCACCTCGTTCAACTAAATATTTGACAATGTCAAGAGCACCTCGATCAACAGCAAATTGTAAAACTGTCTGTCCGACCCCATTCTTTCCATTTACATCAGCACCTTGCTCAAGTAAATATATGATAATTTCAGGTACACTTTGAACAACAGCAAAGTGTAGAACTGTCTTCCCGACAAAATCATTGCCATTTACATCAGCACCTTGTTCAACTAAATATCTGACCATGTCTAGCACACCTTGAGAGGCAGCAAGGTGTAGAACTGTCTTTCCGGCACTATCTTTGCGACTTACGTCAGCACCTTGTTCAACTAAATATTTGACAATATCAAGCTCACCTTTATCCACTGCAAAGTGTAGAACTGTCTGTCCGACAAAATCATTTCCATTTACATCGGCACCTTGTTCGACTAAATGCTTGACAATGTCAAGTACACCTTGAGTAACAGCAAAGTGTAGAACTGTCTTCCCGACAAAATCGTTGCCATTTACGTCAGAACCTTGTTCAACTAAATATTTGACAATATCAAGTACACTTTGATCCACAGCGAAGTGTAGAACTGTTTTCCCGACAAAATCCTTTCCATTTACATGAGCACCTTGTTCAACTAAATATTTGACATTGCCAAGTACACCCTGAGCAACAGCAAAGTAAAGAACTGTCTTTCCAGCCCCATCCTTTTCGTTTACATCTGCCCCTTGTTCAACTAAATATCTGACAATGTTAAGATCACCTTGAGCCACAGCAAAGTGCAAAACTGTCTGTCCACCCCCATCCCTTCCATTTATATCTGCACCTTGTTCAACTAAATATTTGATGATGTCTAATGCACCTAGACCAACAGCAAAGTGCAAAACTGTCTGTCCACTCCCAGCCCTTCCATTTACTTCAGAACCTTGTTTAACTAAATATTTGAAAATGTCAAGTTGACCTTGAGCAACAGCAAAGTGTAGAACTGTCTGTCCGCACCCATCCCTTCCATTTACGTCAGAACCTTGTTTAACTAAATATTTGACAATATCAAGTACACCTTGAGAAACAGCAAAGTGTAGAACTGTCTGTCCGACAAAATCCTTGTCATTTACATCAGCACGTTGTTCAACTAAATATTTGACAACGTCAAGTACATCTTGAGCAACAGCACAACGCAAAACTGTCTGCCCAGTTGCATCCCTGTCATTTACGTCAGCACCTTGTTCAACTAAATGCTTGACAATGTCAAGTACACCGTGAGTGGCAGCAACGTGCAGAACTGTTTGTCCAGCGCCATTCTTTCCATTTACATCAGCACCTTGTGCAACCAAATATTTGACAATATCAAATACACCTTGAGCAACAGCAACGTGCAGAATCGTCTGTCCGGTCCCATCCTTTCCATTTATATCAGCACCTTGTTCAACCAAATACTTGACAATGTCAGGTTCACCTTTAGCAACAGCACAGTGCAGAACTGTCCGCCCAGCCATATCCTTGTCATTTACGTCAGCAAATTTTTCAACGAGGTAAGTAACAATGTCAAGTATGCCTTGACAGGATGCCAGATGCAGAACCGTCTGCCCGGCCGCATCCTTGCTGTATATGTCAGCACCTTTTTCAACTAAGTATTTGACAATGTCAAGTACACCTTGAGAAACTGCAAAGTGCAAAACTGTCTGTTCGGCCCCATCCTTTTCATTTACATCAGCACCTTGTTCAACTAAATATTTGACAATGTCAATATGACCTTTAGCAACAGCAGAGCGCAGAATTGTCTGGCCGTCAAAATCCTTGCCATTTGGATTAGCACCTTGTTCAACCAAATATGTGATAATGCCAAGAACACCTTGAGAAACAGCAAAATGTAGAACTGTCTGTCCGGCCCCATCCTTGGCATTTAAATCAGCACCTTTTTCAAGTAAATATTTGACAATGTCCAGTTCACCTTTAGCAACAGCTAAGTGCAGAACTGTCTTCCCGGCAAAATCCTTGCCATTTACATCAGCACCTTGTTCAGTTAAATGTTTGACAATGTCAAATTCCCCCTGAGTAACAGCAAATTGCAGAACTGTCTGTCCGACCACATCCTTGCCATTTGCATCAGCACCTTGTTCAACTAAATATTCCACAATTTCATGTTCACCTTGAGCAACGGCGAAGTGCAGAACTGTCTGTCCGACCCCATCTTTGCCATTTACATCAGCACCTTTTTCAGCCAAATATTGGACAATGTCAAGTACACCTTGAGCAACCGCAAATTGCAAAACTGTCTGTCCGACCCCATTCTTGCCATTTACATCTGCACCTTGTTCAACCAAACATTTGATAACATCAGGTACACTCTGAGCAACAGCAAAGTGCAGAACTGTCTGTTCAGCTCCATTTTTGCCATTTACATCAGCACCTTGTTCAACCAAATATTTGATAATGTCAAGGTTACTAAAAGGAACAGGTGTGGGCGGAAGTGCGTCTTCGTCACTATCCTTGCGATTCACTTTAGCACCCTGTTCAACCACATATTTTACAACGTCTTGAACATCTTTACCAACAACAACGTTCAGAATTGTTGTCTCACCAGTATTCTTGCCGTTGATCACAGCACCATGTTCGACTAAATTTTTCACAATGCTATGTACACCTTTAGCACAAGCAATGTGCAGAACTGTCATTCCGTCAGTGTTCTTTCCACTTTTCTCAGCCTGAAATTCAGCTAAATGTGCTATAGTGTCACGTGCATCTTTATCAATGGCGAAGTGTAGAGCTGTGTTACCGTTAAAATCTTCACTATTCACATCAGCACCTTGTTCAACTAAATATCTGAGAATGTCAAGTGCACCATGAGCAGCAGCAAAGTGCAAAGCTGTCCTACCATTGTTATCCTGGGCATACACAAGAGCGCCCTTTTCCAGTAAATATTTCACAATGTCTAGCACATCTTGAGCAGCAGCATAATGTAAGGCTGTTTGGTCAGACTCATCGTTACAATTTACATCAGCGCCACAATCTTCAACGAAATACTTGACAACTTCAAATGAACGAGAATGTATCGCACGGTAGAGACAAGCTATGTCGTTCAAAAAATAGAAACAAGAACATTGTTCTACGAAAATATCATCTAGTAAACCAGGCCTTGCTGCAATCCATATAATTGTTTCATCATCCTTGTTCTTGGAGTAGATGTCTGCTCCATGCAGGAATAAAGATTCCGACAATTTTGTATCCTCTGGACAAAACTGAAAAGCACGCCAAAGATTCGTCTTCTTCCAATGATTACTTTCGTTTTTATCGCCTACAAACTCCACTCTTAACACATTCCAAATATGAAATTCCCTATCTTCTTCACTGGTATTGATGATTCCACTTCCTTCTTGGTTTTCATTACTATCTGTGGGGTAAATAAAAAAAATACCTGTAAGTGGTTAGAAAAACTATTGGAGCGCCAAGATTTTTTGTAGAAAAATGCGAAACATATTACGTTAAAAACTTGGCATGGCCTATATCGTGCCACTTCCGCAACCCCTAAAATATCAGGCCCGTTCACACGATCCAACTTTGTCTGATCCAATTCACATCTGACATGTGGAATGTAGTTTGTTATTGATAAAAGCAGTACTGGATTGGTTTTAGTGGATTTGCTGCCCATATACATTGCAAGTCAATGGACTATAAAACATCCATCAGAAGTGAATTTTTTTTTGGATCCGTTAAAATTGGATCGTATGAACAGCCGGACCTTAATGGTTTTGAAATCCTAAGTTATGAAAAAAATGCTTACACTTCTAGAGGTACAGTGAGTCGTACACGCATGCATGATTAGGGAAATCTTTATTAATTCCAGTTTTGACTACCTTCTTTGCCGTTCTTTTACGCGAATATTTTGCTTTTGATTTTGTCTTTGCCCTTATTAAGGTGGCTTCATACAGTTTATTGAAATTGCTTCGGCTGGTACCTCGCCGATGTTTACAGTTAGATGATGCGGATTACTTAGATGTATCCAGGAAGGGTAAATCATTGTTCAAACTTGATGTCATCACTTGAAAAAAGGCACTTTTCTGGCATAGTTTTGCTATTGGGTATGATAATAGGCGCGCTGGTATATGACGCCCCGGGCGGGAAGACATGCCACGAAATATAAAATACAAGAGGCATAAAGTATAAAATACAAGGAGTCTCAATACCCCGGCAGCTGTATAAATTATATTATATTATAGTAATTTGATGTATTTTAATTAATTTAATGTATTATTTAATGACGTATGCGGCCGGAGGAGGTTGATTTGTTAACTACGCTCTATTACTTAATAATTATCATATCTTCTGTATAATCAAAAGATACAGTTTATTGAACTTCAATATATTTATTAATTTCTTATCACAATACTTTGAGATTACTTTTGAAATTACTAAAATTAATCATAATTTAACTTACGGATTTGTAAGCACTTACGAGTGATTTTTATTGACTACGCCGGAGAGAAAGTGGAATTACAGCTCCCAAAGCGTGCAATTAATGCTCAAACCGCACACCTCTTAGCCAATGAAATTCCAGTTTTGTTCAATGTGAAATTCCAATATCTAAGTGTCGGATTAATCAAATGGCTAGAATCTGCCTTAGATTTGTTAAGACTCACGCAGATGTCTCTTTTCTTGACTATTCGTTCGCCATTGCATGAGAACGAATTAATTGGGATGACCCTCGACGCTATACAAAGTGAACTGTTTTAACTGGAGTACGGGACGAATTTTTTTGCCTATCATACCTAATACCTTACCTTTAAGGTTTCCTGCTTTCCGCTTACGCGTTCTTTTAGGGGGCGGAAAATTTTAGATGCTTCCAAATTTTTATTATTTAACCGTGATTTAACACATGGATAAACAAACGAAGTTCTTCCGATTTATTCACCTAGTTTTTTATATGACATATATATATATATATATATAAGGATTTAGACTTTTACTGAAAATCGCCCTAAGGCTGGTTTTCATATGATATAATTCGTTTTAATTCACATGTAACTTGTCGTTATGCAAAATCCGACATACATGAAAACCGCATTACAGCAAATTACGACACGTGACTTCCCGCGACGAATTTTGTCACATGAAAACCAGCCTTTTAAGGCGGTTTTCCACTAGGCGGAATTTTTCGATCGAACGAAATTTTTCGCTCAATTTTCTTTTCAATTGTGAGAAGTCGACCGAAGCGGATTCGCTTGACCGACCACAATTGAAAAGAAAATTGAACGAAAAATTTCGTTCGATCGAAAAATTCCGCCTAGTGGAAAACCGCCTTTAGTTTGGTTTTATGAATATTGCCCTGCAACTCAAGACTGATACTCCAGGTAGTTCAACTACTTCGTTCTTACCTTTCCTAAAAGTAATCTTGAGGCTGTCATCACGACCAATAACAACATCTCCAATTCTGTTATCAGCAGGCACACAGATAAATATATCTTCGACCAACAACAATTTGAAAGGATGTTCAGGTAAATCCTCACCCATAGACTCCCGAGAAGCGAACTCTTGCCATTGTAATATTGGTTGAAACTTGCGATCAGCAAATTCAATTATAGGCCAGGCAAGCACACGCGAAAGCTTAGCGCCGAATTTCAAAACAAATTCAAATAACACAACATTGATTAGCATAACAGACTTGACGTTTTCTGCTCGTTTGGCTCTGTTGAACCAAGACTTTACTCCACCGTTGAAGTACATCGAGAATATTTCTTGAATGGCAGGTAGGCTGTGGAGCTCCTTCAAAAACGAGAGGCACCCTATGATTGCGGTTTCAGGACTTTCAAGACCTTCCAGTAATTCCGAAACGACTCGTAGTTTGGCTGCGAATATTTTATCGTCGATACTGAGTGCTGTACAAAATGAAGCTGTCGCACTCTTGCGGGAATCTCCAAATCGTTCTTTAGCCGCTTTAAACCCTTTATTTGATTCGACTATTAACTCTTTCATAGCACGGGAAAGGTCTAACGCGTCGCTTCTAATCACAGAATCAACACCGCTAGGCAATGATGCTCCTGATGCTTCCGCAATGTCGTCTCGAGTTCCGTAGTTAACAACAGCTGTTTGCCTAGCTGGCTTTGATTCACCAAGAGATATAAGGAAATTTACTCCCTCCTGTAGGAAACTGTAGCTGGCGAGAAGATCTTTGCACGAAAGAGCATCAAGTTTTGTCTTTATATCGTTCATCTCTCCTTTGATAAGTTCGTGAATTTTAGCGTCCGTAACATCGCCGTCCTTTAATGTCGCTGCCGTCGAACCCCGAGCCTTGTTCCACAACAAGCCCACAGTTGAACTCAAAATGCTTGTCAGGATAGACGACATACTAACGAATTTATGTGCTAGAACTGAGCAACACAAAACGATACTTGGCTTAAACCAAATATATAGACAATACGTTTAACTATCCTTTCGTTAAATTTCTGGTATTAGATGAGGTCGATGTAATGATTATCGTCGTCAATTTCGCTGCCGTCGAGTATCGATCCTCGCTCCACAACAAACCCAAACCCACTGGTTGTCAGGATAGACAACGACGTACTAACTTCGAAATCCTGTGTTGAAATGTTCAAACTATGACATCCCTTAAAACACAATACACGCGTTCTGCAGATAACCAGACTAAGTTCACGGAACAACCGTTTTGAAATTCCAAGTAATATCATTCGTGATAATTCACAATATGCTCTTCCGGTTATTACGGGAACCACTGATTATTTTAATGCAAACAAAACAATGGTGACTCCGACTATGCTCTATAAGCCCCTTTACACTACACTCGATTTATTGGCACGACACGGCTGAAATGGGTACCGTGCCCATTTCATCTGTGCCCGACCTTTGTTTTGGTAATCTGAGCACTGGCCCATTTATGGTTTAGTGTAAACGGGGCTATAGTCTTCATCAGGAATATTAATAATAATAATCATAATAATAAGTATAGGTAATCATGCGATGGCGAGTACAATTCGGGGATTTAGTACGAGTGATGTTTGGAAATTTTGCCATACAGAATAGATCTTTTGCACAATAGACCAACTTTTGATTTAGGCAACAAAATGGGAATAGACAAAAATGGTAACAATTTCCGTTTGTCGTAAAAAGTATAAAAATTTGCAAACTTTGCAAGGCTATATTTTTCGTATTTTACAAAATCTCGCAACCAAACTTTCCATCTCTACTAATTTCTGTACGTTCTTTCCAGCTGTGGTGATTTACTTGCATTTCCTTGCATAGATCAAAAAGTAGTCTATAATGCAAGAAGTAAATTTCCGAAAAGCGCTTACTAAACTTGGCAAGTTTGGCTACGAAATATTACCGTAAATTGCGAAAAATATAACCATTCGAATTTGGCAAATTTGTATACTTTTTTACTATGGCCGGAAGCGTGTAACTAAATTAGTTGCACTCTTTATAGTTAAAGTGGAAGTTAAGTCCGTAAGTAAAGAAACGGTTTGTTTACATGTTGCACTTCTATACTTTTTAAAATGCAATGGCTGTGTTAACATCTAATGATAGGGAGCTTTCTGCAGGCAATCTACCTGTTGTTATGAGCAGAACCGGTGCTCAGAACGGACTTTACTTCCACTTTCAACTAAAAATTATAATTGCAAACAAGCGATTGATGAACTTTTTTGTTTGCGTCATTTATATGAACACGCGCGTGCTGTATGAGCCCACCATACTTTTATCCAGCATGCAGTTTCCAAGGCAACGACGCGTGAAAGGAAATTTATAACAAGAAGATAAGTCTTCTTGAAAACTAGAATACGCCATAAAAACCTTACGGAATGAAGGAGATTGAAGATTGTATTTCTAAACAGAATCGCTCGGAAAGTGTCCCGTTGCCTGCTTACAAGTAAGCGTCTTTATTACTTTATGCTTGTCAGCTTGTGAGGAAAACGTTTTGTGGTGGGAAAATTCATATGAACTGTAGTCCGTGAATGACAAAAAACGGGGAAAAACAAGAGACAGACTTCTTAGAAAAATATTGCAAAACTTGTAGAAAACTTAACAGTAGCAATACTGTGATTTAAACACTTTTAGAAACAATATTCCTGCAGTTTATTAACATGCCGAAGACTGTCGGCGAATAAATATTTGCTTGAGGATTTGCCTTGTGGATTTTTAATAATTTGCAAAGTCTGCCAAGACAGTGGGCTTGTCAAAAAGTTGTTTTTCGAAGAGATTGAGTATCATGATGTATTGATGTTATTTTTATTTTGCTGATAGGAGATACATTCACGTTGCCACGCAAACTGACGCCAAACGGACGTATTTCTTTAGTCAAACCATAGCTGCGGGCAGCCCAGAAATGTTTTTGTTCTCGTGGCGCTCGTGCGTGTACGCGAGTCTACTCGGTCTATTATTACGTCATAATAATGGCTACCCTTGGTCAAACTCATTAAATTTGATTTTTAACGTTGTTACTTGAATTTGGACGTGAGCTTGAGCATTATATTAACTAGAATATTACTTTTGTATTACTGAAATATTTCTCCTTCAGCTGAGGTCTCGGAATTTCAGTACGAAATAGATTTTTGTCGCTTTATTCTGATAAAATATAAGGCGCTGTTACACTATGCAATTTTCCCTGAACCTTACAATGCAATTTTAATTTTGAGGGATGATCATTTGTAAAGAGTGCTCGAAATGCTAATAAAACGAAAGCAGAACGTAAGAAATGTTTGCATTTGTCAACTTTAGATGGCTCAGACGTATAATTGCATTGCAAATTGCAAGGAAGTTGCATAGTGTAACACCGCCTGTATGCAGGCACAAAGTTGATCGTTTAGTATTTCTACTTAAAACAAAAAAAATTAAAGATACAGGCTTGAACTCCACTTCTTGGGTTATTACTCCAGTTTTATTGGAGTACTTTGATCTGTGGCCATCACACGCGCCGTTGATTTTGTTGTTTCACGTGTTTACGCATGAATTTCTTCCGATTTAGACCTCAAATACTGAAATACCACGACTACTCGATCGGGCGATCCACGCCCCTGTGGACGGTAAGCGACGCGGCAAAAAATGCTCTGCGCAAATCGAGGTTGATGGAACTCTCGAAACCACGCCCAATGCACCCGGAATATCAGCCTCCGAAGCCCGCGATCCCTGTGATCACGAAAGCAGCCAAAGAGGCCTCGCCCTCGGAGCGCCTAGACGAACTGGCAAAAGCCTCAAAACGAATAATAAATATGGAAAACGAATGGAGAGTGAAGATGTCCGCATTGAATTACAAGCCCAGTGAAAGGATACTGGAGTTATCTCGCCCGCGGCCCTTCGCAAATGGTTACCTCCCTTGCAAGACTCCTGACGAAACGTGGCGCGTATCGCCGAATGCCCGAAAGGCATCGACGTCGGATCGTGTCGACGAGCTGAGCAGGCCTCAAGTACGGACTGTGGGTACCAATCTCCCGCGAACGGACGCGTTTGTCGTCTCCGACGCGGCAAAAAAAGCAAAAGCGAGCGATCGTATTGTCGAACTATCGCAGCCCGTAGTTCGAGGCCATTAGCAAGCTACGGTCATCTCATTCAATCGTGGAATGCTAGTGATAACTATTTCATGTCTTTAAGTAATGTGTAGTAAAATCATAAAAACAGTAGTATATTTATTCTTTTAAACCAAAACTATATCGAAAACCGATGCCGAAAATTTTGGAATCAGCAGCGAAGGAATAAGTAATATAAAAAAATAGTGAAGTAATCATCACTTTGGTTCAAATGCAAAGATACGAAGAGTCATATTTCCACCATTGCCGTTCACGGTAACCAAACTAACTATTCGTTTATAAGCAAAGTTTGACGCGTCTAGCGAAGGACCTTTCTCCAACTAAATATTTTCATTTCTAAGCAAAAGTACTGACGTTATCAGAATTTATAACCACTGAACTCTGTTTAGACTGGAACGATAACTGACGATTATTTGGCCGCCATCTCTTTGAAATAAATTTAAAGCCAAATTCAGGACCAGGGCCAGTCTCTCTCATTATTGTCTTGTCGCAACAAAAAACAACACCAATAAACAACAACAACCGTGAAAACAACAACAATAGGAATGGACTGGCACTGGTCTTCAATTCGGCTTCAAATAAGTTTCAAAGACGGCGGCAAAATTATTGTTCCAGTTCACTGGTATTAATCAATATTCTAAGATTGTACTCCAAATTTACCACAACTGCACAACACATGACCACATTATGGTATTGCACTTCGACGTTCCATTAACTAGTTCACTTGGAGAACTTTTGGTCGGTTGATCCGCCAAAATATTTTGTATTTGAGGCCCCAAGTCCTGGCTGATATTCACTCTATCGTGAATTTCAAACCTTCACTCGTGCTGTTCAACCCGAGACCCTATCAGGGTATAGCTTATACAATGTACAATAACATTCTACCAGCTAACATGAAGTTTACCCATGGCAAACTTTTGATGGTTTACCCGGCCGAACATCTTTCAAACACCGAGTACTGACCGATAATAATCTGTAGTGAGTTCACTTCAGCCGCATTCGTTCAGCAAATATTTCACGCGTCGCTCAGTTACGAGCTCACATTGGGATGACATATACGTTTCACTTCGATATTATACCAGCTAACTTCACCTTATCTCTTGGTAAATTTTTGTTGGTTTTTCGCGGCCGCTTTCTTCTTCACCTGTTGCAATCGTTTCATTGAATTCCTCGCCATTTCGCGTGGGTTGGCATGACTGGGTGATTTTATTACCCCGTTGCCGCTGACCGCAGTGCTCGTCGCGAGATTAGGGATTATGAACGATTGATTCACCGACGGGCTGCTCGGCGAAAATAGTGGAGGCTGGGGACGAAATACGAAGAAACAGTTTTAAATGGAAAAAACAGAGCACAAAATCGGCCTATGGAGGGGAGGACAGTCCGAATGAAATGTTTATTGAGGTGTTTTATTTTATCCGAAAAATCTTGGCTTTTATGAATATTGGATGGCCAATATTGCACCAAGTGTGGAAACTGGGCGGGGGGGGGGGGGATTGCGCAGAAACTTTGTGCCCTTCCCTTTATACGGTAAAAACGGCTGTAAAGACTGTTCTGTTGTATTTCAGCACAGGCTGATCTGGTATTTTAGATGTTTCAAGAACTCTGCATTCAAGTAGCTATATCGTTATTAACATCTGCCTGGCACGGGAAATGCAGTTTCATCGCTACTTCAATGTAAATTCACTCTTGCGACCGATTTGCTTAGTTATATTCCGATACGAAATAGTCTAATGTATTTCATACCTTGTTTTGTTCGACTCTCAGTGGTGCTTTGAACGACTGTGTTTGGGGTTTATTAGACAGGATTCCAGGCGATGGGATTGGCTTTAATTTTGGCACAGCAGTCGCTGTACTCTAGAAATTAAACATATCTTGAAGTTAAACTATGTATAACTGTATTTTTGGCTGCTATGTTACTTCTGTTACGCAAAAAAGACTTTAAAAAGTTTACCAACAGTCAACAGTAAATAACAAAACGAAAATTCAAACATTCCATTTCCGTTGTTTTCAATGAAATTTTATGTTTATTTAAAATTTTCGCGAGAGAAATGGAAAAATCCAAGAAATTCGGGTGGCGTATCACTCGTTAGCCAATCAAATCGCCGTACTATCTACTACATCCGGGACACGACGACATAACCAAAAATGGCGGGAAAACCAATGTTTGCAATTTGCAAATTGCAAGATGGCCTCGCTACGGCTGCGATTGATTTTTGGCGTTATGTTTAACGAAATGAACAACTGTGGGGACGAGAAACGAAGCGAAAACGCCACAAAAAGTTGTTTACGATGCTTAAGTCTTAAATGGATTTCGTTACAATAAACGAGGGTAAGAATTTAAAGACTTTCGACGATATTATTTGTTGTGTTTTTTTTTGTTTTATTTAAAGTTTTTTGCATGTTCTCGTTTTATCTAACACAGTAGGCTGCTAGGCAGTCGGGAAATGTTGGGAAAGTCGAGTTTGCTTGTGGCAATGACGTGTTGATATAAAGGTATACTATAGGCGGTAATGCCATTGCAGAACTCTTTGGCATATTTGGTGATTTTGATCGACTTTTCCGGATGCGTTCTTTTTAGAAATATTGGAAAGGTTTTAATTCAAGATTAATATGACTATGACTATGTGCAGATTTGAAACTTCCATCACGTACACAACCCTAAGCTGTGTGTATATTTTCCCTGTATTTACATCATATATGAAAAAGTACTGTCAATTCCATAAGAGATATCACAAAGAGATCAGACATACCACATAAACACATAGTCTTTCAGATGTAAAGCATGCTGCGCTCTTGGAAAATTTATACTTACGGCCTGTTTCATTTGCTTGGAACAGTTTCGGCAATACCAAACATGTCTAAGGTCATCAATACTTTGATCTGTGATGCGTGGCTTGTGACAGTTCTGCCAGGAGAAACATAAAAATATATAAACAGTCTGCCTTTGACAGAGATCAACCAAGTAACACAAACCCCAATAATGGTGGAACAGACCAACATGTCTAGCACTAAAGATATATTCTAGAGACAAAACATGCTGAGTTTTTTTTTTCAAAAACTCCTGTTTTCAGTTAGGAGTAAATGAATTGTTAAGAATACCCAAAATTTTATCAGGATTCCCTCTGCATGGCTTTCGATCTATTGTTGTGGACTAAATATACATCTGGCACATCAAATGAGAACAGCATGAAATGTGTATCTGTATATTTAATTTGTTGCCCACCACATAACATAGCCAAAGTCGCTGGGTGTTGCTGTAGTTTACCTGATGGTAGAGCTCATGGCATTCATGACACTCTACTAACTGATTCCCAGGTATTCCACTTTTTCCGCTACAAATAAAATATTTAACTGTTATATGGGTAAAGTTTCATAGGTAAGTGCAATTACACAAAGCATTGTTGTCTAATTCAACCTATTCTTAGCATTCTTTGCCTATATACTGCTAGATGATATTTGTCTCTACATTTTACCTTGAACAAACAATACATTTAGAAACAGACAAGTCAGGTGACATTTCATGGTCTGGTGAACTCTCATGAGATTCAACATCCAAATCATCAAGCAATGATTTTCCAGTGCTGATTTCTAACTTTGGTCTTTTTCTTTTAACCAACAGATTGCTTGAGTTTGACTCTTCCAAAGTCTCTTCAACATAACTCAAACCTATGTAGAATGCAGTCTTGTTTATGCCATGTGTTTATCATGCAATTTATTTTCACCCAAAAAATTTTCAATCAATTACCTTACTTGCATGAATGACTCTAATCTAAAGCCATTTACTATAATTTTTTTAATTTTGCTGTACATTTGGAATGAATTGTCAATATATAATTGCACTGTCAGCTCAATTTTCACTTACAAAAATCCTCCTAAAATTTATTAATTCATCCCAATCTCAATTTGATGAGTTTATATGGTGGAAGGCTTCTAACAAATCTTCAGCTGCAAATCTAGTCTTCTGTGCTACCAGGAAAATACTAGTAAATCATTACCAACCTAACTCTTCAACTGTTTCCATAATGTCATCGTCGGGATGATTATTAGTACCGGTACCAAATGACAATGACTCAACTTCTACAGTTTCTGTAACATCTTCAGTTTTGACCTTTCCCAAGATTTGTAATGAGGTTTCTGGAACTTCCTCAATAGTGGCTGGACCACTAGAATCACCGGATATTGTTATTGGGTCTGCCTTTAAGGGAGGTGGTTTCGAAAGTGGCTTCTTGATTGTTTCGACTTGAACTGGTTCTTTGATTTCATCTTTCTTTTTCTGAAACACAAATACAGGAAATTGCCTAAAAACTGGCTGGTAAAATTTAAAATGGCAACTTGAGACGATCAATTTATATAGAATTTATAAGAGCTAGTCAGACAATAAACTATCAGACAGTAAACTACATCTTTGCTGAGGCATTACGCTAGCAGACCCCGCCTGAATGGAAATTCCCGTTCACGAAGATCCCGGGAAACGGTCAAAATTCATATCACATCGCCAGGCACTTTGATTCAAATGTTCTGAGTTGAGTGAGTTCTGACTGCCGAGTGTTACCTCTGGAACATAATCAGGTTTCTTTCCTAAAACCTCATCTCTCAAAGCACATAACTGTTCTAAAGCTCTAGGATTTTTCGAGTGTAAAAGATTCAAAGCGCGGACTAAAATTGGGTCAATTTCGGACGCCATATTGGATGTACTACCACTTCACACACTGAGCTATATAACATACCAGTTGGCCAATTATTGGAGAATTTCTGAGAACTTCCTCGTTGGTTATCAAGCCAGTCGATATATGGAACTACGTCCAGGTGCCTCTTACTGGTTTATTCTTGTTTATTCTGGTCTTGTGCAGTTTCCACAATCCATAGATACCACAATCTACGGAAATATCCACACAAAATTCCGGATAAATAGTTATTATTCATTCTTACAAAGCTCAGTCTTTTGCTGCAAAATCGATGGTGGAAACCCCGATTCTGAACACGAATTGTCACCCATGAACTACAGTATTGTGTAGTATCCTTATAATCTGACAAATTGATTACTAAAAGACATCGAAAAGTACTGAGGATGGTGTCTCGACTACAGTTTAATTTACAATACGTTCACTCCAAACTAAAATTTAGCATAAAACACAAGTGAAGTCTAGTGTATAGTTTGTCGACGCAAAATTGACAGGCTAGAATGATCACGATAATATTTGCAGTATGTATTCGTAAAATCACTCAATTCACGAAGCCGTTGTTTCCATTTTTTCTTCAGCTTCGGCGTCTTCTACCTCGGCAGAAGTGGGGGTTTCAGAGGTGGGGTTCTCGCTCGTTGCCTCCCCCGAGGTTTCAGCAGATTCTTCGCTCTCCATCGTCTCACCCTCCTCTGGTTTCTCTTCCTTTTCGTAAGCTTTCGTGCCGGGTGTGACGATAACACCGCCCCAGCTCGTCACCTCCGAATCCACAGCTAAAAATGAAAATTAGAGTACGAATACAGCGTTTTGGGAACACGTTGTGACATTCAGAAGATTTTAAACGTAATCTTACAAAAATCCAATTTCTCTGTCAGATAAAGGAATTAGGGCGGAATGCATATTGCAAGGGGAAAATCTGCTTGGAAAGTCCTCACCTTAGCAAAAAATATGGAATAAACTCTCATCCATAGATATGTATTGCACTGTCTGTTTTGGAGAATGTGTATGTGAACCTGGATTACAAACGGAAACCGAATGTTTACTTACCAACGGAAGGAACACCTTCTGATACCTATTACGAAATAGAAAGGTGTTATTGGCATATCTAGTTCAAAAAATGCAGTTGAATTATTGTGTAGCACCCACCGAGCCAAGAACCTCTTTAACAGCGCCATGGGATAAGCATCGTAGGAGAGTTTGAGCAGACGTGGCAATGGCGTCCTAGGAAATGACAAGAATGACAGAAGCCAAATCTAACACGTGGGTGTTGACAGTTTAAGTTGGAAACAAACTACATCGGATATCTCACCAAATAAAAAACTTAGTTCTCCCAGTTTCTAAATGATCTATATATTATGACTAACCTGTTCTTCCAAGCTTAGTACACTGTGAGCTCGGACATTTCCAGACTAAAAATAGAAAGAACACTAAAGATGAGTTTCTTTGTCATGCAATAATCTCTGACAATGAGCGTTAGGAAGTTGCAAATATGTGGCTTATATATAGCGATTATATTGGTGAAACTCAAGGCTATTCACCGATGTAATTCAGATAGAAAAAGTCTATGGTGGTAGATTTGTGGATACGTTCATCTCTGATAAATATAGCAAAATGGACCATATTTATCTAGTAATCCTCGTATAATGAGAAACTGCCAATCACGCACTGGCTCGCACTGGCACTTTAAACAGAAATCCGTCAACCCACCTCACAAGGATCGATAATACCAATAGATCCTGGAAGGAATAGTCCCGACGCCAATAACTGCAGTGCTCGTCTAATAAGTAGGTAATAAAATACAGCAAATATGGTATGGCAATTGACTATATATTCTGTACGACAGTTCTTGAAAGCTACGGAACCACGAGATCTTACTACCATCACAAGTAGTGTTTGTTTTTACGGTCATTAGGGAATGGGATTTTGCATGTTGTCAACCAAAAAAGCATAATTTCTTCACCGCTATATTATAAAGATGAATATCATGCACTGTCTGATTTCTTGTGGGGTTTTGGAAATGAGTTGGATTCCTACACAACGACTGTGGAAACCATGCAATTACCTGAACGCGACGTTGATTGTGACAGGTTCATTTGACACCGAAACTGTTGCCCTGTGTGCCTTGGAATGAAAAACACGGAAGTAAGAAATGGCGAAAATAACAATTTTGGATTTCTTAAAATGAAAAAAAAAACAGTATGCGAGTAATGGATTTCACCTTATTTACACCGCGCGGAAATGCGGACGAATATTGTGAAATAAAATAAAATTTATTACCAGAAGGTCGATCAACCAGGGCGTAAGGCCTTGCAAGCCGGTTGTATTAAATCTGTTTTTCATATCCTTCAGTAATCGGACCAAAATTCGAACTCTAAAACAGTGGAAAAGAGAGCAGTGTAACGCTGTTAAATCTTTTGAATTCATGCATTCTTGTGTGATACACTAGTATGCATGGTGTCTGCCAAGATATGAACAACCAAAGGAACTTCTTGGCAAAGCCTTGGAAAACTGTCAGTGCAGAGTACACCAAAGGAGTGCTTATTTTCTGGTTGGTCTACTTAATCAGGGACTGAGATGATGGTTTATACTACCATCCACGTCCACTAAACTATAGTATAGAGTTTTTTTCCTGACTAAATTACGTAAAACTTACGTCGTGTGGAAAGCATTTTCCTCGAACCATCTCGAGTGTCGTATCGTTGCTAATGCACCCTCAAGGAGTTTTACGTCGACTAGAAGATTAAAAACAGCAAAAATCAACACTCACGAAATAGTTTGACAATAGACGATTAGAGGTTTTAAAGGTTTTTGTTTGCAAGATCAGTGACAGCTTTATACAAAGTAGCTACTTCGTACCGTGTGTATCTGGTTTTGCGTCCCGAAGATTTTTTGGTAAAGTCGTTATCAATATTCTCACGACGACACCGCCAGAACTTAAGTTAAAACCTGTGGAAATATATAAATAAAATAAAAATTGCTTTGTGCAGGATCATGCTAGACCACTGAGCTCTAACTATAATAGAGCTCGGTGTGGTAGAGACAGTTCTGTTTGCTTAAGTTGATAAAACAATAATTATACAATGGTCAATGCTAAGCATATATACAATATTGTTTTGAGTAAGTACAAACCTCCTTCATTAACCTGAAGGGTGACTTCTATATAACACAAAAAATAAAACCTTTGTCAATGAACTAGAGTACAGAGGCCCCAGACGTCAAAAATCCTCGTAACATTCGCACTCAGCTATATATAGGCTAAGATAGGAGTGGATCCAGACTGATGCGACTTATGTGATTGCATTAGTCAAAATTTCAAATACACAAATGATCATGGTAGAGTACCATATTCCGGTATATACCATGTTTGAGTATACTAAATTACGGTATATTCGACCAAGGTTGAGTACCATATTCCAGTATACTCCAAATCACTTGTACTTATGTGAACTGGTCTTCCTCAAATCGCGTTTGAATTAAATTTATATTATTCATATATAATTATATTTCAGAGCAGATTTCAGTTTGTGATGCATGAATAGTGAAACCAGAATATTTTCAAAAGCAGGATATATGTATACAGTATATTACAATACACAGCTGCTTACCATCCAAACCTAAACTTGGTTCTCTCAGTCCAATCAGAATTCTGTCTGCAACTTGTTGTATGCTTTCAACTTTAATGAGAACAAAAATTTTGATTACCACACATTGGATTGCAAACAATTGCAAAAAATCTAACAATCTTCAAAAAATCCTTGATGAATGCACCACTGCACTTGAATACTTACTGGTTGGTAATCTTTTAAGTATAACAGCAAGATCAGCAATAGGATGACCTGCCAACATTGTGCCTTTCTTATATGAACCAACTGGTCGAACTTCTTCAATGCCCTGTTAAAGATTCAAGGTTGGGACGGTCATCAGTTGAATAGGGTTAACATACATTGTAAACAGTTGTACAGTACTATAGTGATTAGACCATTGTATCTTGCATGGTTTAATTTACATAACATTGATTGCTTACCAACTCTGCAGCATCTGGACTGACAATAAGTATGTCAATCATATCTGTTACTTTTGTGACCATGTTTAGCACAGCTGCCTAAATAAATAAATAGATACACACGCCCCTTGAAATTTCCTCATTTTGCTGTGGTTAGTTGAAATTGCTGTACGGTTAGCTGATTTTGCTGTGGAAGTTGGGGCAAGCGACTGCACATAGTTTTGCTCTACAGTCCGATTTAAAAACCAGATATGATTTCTTTGTACAGCAACAAAGCTAGCTTGCTTTGGAAGATATAAAGGTGAAATTATGCAATTTTGTACCTGTTCATGTGAAGACTGTGTAAGTTCCTGGTTTCGTTTTAAGAGAGCCTAAAAATTAAAAGGAAATTATATGGAATACAAAGCAGGAAAAAAGAACCAAATCTTATAAAAAAGGAACCACCAAAGTTGACAGGCACACATACCTGGGTCAAAGCAGATTCATCAGCCTCTGGAGCAGCTCTTTGAAATGCACCTGATGCCTAAAAATGCAATTCACAGTAAAGGTATGTACATGTACCAGCAGTGCATAATTCCCACACTCAAAGTTTATCTTTAATTTTTATTGTAAGGCAGATTTAGCACAAGGATGTGAACGTCCAAGACATTGTGAATATAGCAAATAATTTTCACATATACTCTTTGACATTCACATCTTCATACTAAATCCGCCTATTGCAATGACAATGTGAGATGACGTTGTTGAAAATGATTACATTTAGCAATCATTGTGATGTTAAAAGCCATGTGAATAAACAATATTTTTAGAGATTGTGAGGTTTCTATTTCACAACCAGGAGAGCACATTTGTAAACATTTAACTGGACGCTTTTTATAACAAAGCAAGTCAAAAGTTTAAAGGAGGTACTGTACTTTGTTAAATATTAATTTAAAATCATTTACAAAAATTGAAAGGCTTTAATGTCATCAAGTGCAAATTTAGTGATTTTATTTGTATGCTGCACCTTAAAAAGATCAAATGGTGAATGTGTAACCACAAATTTCTGTCCAGGGGCAGGTCTAAAAAATGCTTGGGGTATATGGCCACCTCGACCACCACGTCTTCCACCTTTACCTCTAAACAATTGAAAAATTATTATTATCAGATCAACAATTGGCTGTTAACAATAATTATCTAACAATGGTAAGGATATATAACTTCTTTCACAAAAGTGCTATGAAAATACATAAGAAAACATCTCAACATTAAACCCAAAGGCTTTGACGGGAGGTTATGTGTGACATACCACCCTTAGATTGAAATGTTGGGAAGTTTTCTTGTATATTCTAATCATATGCTTGAGCACATAAATTCAATGAGAATAGTGGTAAGAATAGTTCGACAGTTCTTGTATGAACAAAGCCATCTAACAATTAACACACTTATCACAAAGGAGTATCATACTCAGGAATTTCAAGAAGCAATATATATTGTTATCAACAGTCACACACATTTTTCATGCAGCAATATTGCACAAAGTAGAACAACTTTAATCTGTCACAACAATTGTGGCAAAATCACAGTTCATTTTCTTATCAACAACATAGCATTGTATGTATAGCACACCTCTGTGTAACTTGTCTTGCAGTTTTAATTGACTGTCACACTCAAATTATGATTGTTGTGCATCTGATGAAAATATTGTAACATTATATTGCAATCCTGGCATCACTGTTAATAATAGCAATGCAAGGCAAGTTGCATACTCTAACATGTCCTAGTTGCTAGCTTAGCAGGACGGACTTTGTGCAAAGGGCCACTACATTCACTAGTCCAACTTCAATGGAGACAAGCGTGCACAAGCACATCGTTTTTTTTTTTTATCAAAGATACACGTGAATGGATGAGTGTTCTGTGTTTATATCATGTCAAAAACAAAAGGTTAAATACTTTTTATAATGTAACAAGCTTTACGTCTTACCAAAAGTTTAAAAAGTATGATAGTTAGTCTTAGAAGAAAGAGCATATGGTGTGTATGATATTTACCTCATTTTTATTTAAAAAAAGCTGAAAAAACCAACCAAAATCCTAACAAATATAAACACGAGACACAACCACTCCGTCCACTCGGCGCCAGACTTCCCAGTTCCCTCCTCTATAGTAAACTGTGTCTATAGCAGTGGTCTATAGCGACCTACAGTACCGGGACCCCGTACCCCTATTAAACATAACTAGGTTACTCGTGGGTGGAAATGCTGCCTAAAAGCACGTCATTGTTCGGCTTGCGAATGTATAAAAAAGTAATGCTTAAGGAACAGTAATTTGCTATAGGAAGCACGAACATAATCACCATAGCTTTGATCAAATTGATGCTTAAGAAACGAGAGGTAAAACGCTCCACTTGAAAATTGAAGGATGAAGGATACAATTTTTTTCAAAGATAAAAGCACGAGTGGCTCTTTGGCTGACTGCCTTACCAGTCTGCTGATAATCCGCGTCTGGGATTCACTTCACCGGCGAGTTCCTTGACCTTATAATCTTATCTTTCGACAGCCAGGCATAGAAAATAAACAGTTTAGGATTTAAGGTTCTATACTATCATAATATGTATAGACTATAGTCCTACAGAAGACATTTCGTGATTTTCGTCAGGCTTTTCTTTGAATGTCGATTATGTGGTTAAACCGAAATCCAGATTGAGGCTCGCGGTTGTATATCGTATCGCGGTTGCTAATAATATATTAATAAAGGCCCAGTTTCGGATACAAACCAACGAAGCAGGCTTTGCTAGCCTTGGTTTCGCATTTACAAATCGCAACAACATTCAAAACATTTTCGCATTCACAAAATTTTTATACTACCTTTGCCAGGATACAAAAGCGGTTGTTGTTTACGAATTGTTCGAGCTGCCAAGGCTATTCAAGTACTCGAAATCTTGAAAAGTTACTTCCCGATTTCACGCCCACATTGTTTACCATACACTCAGGGCATCTAATCATAGGATCTAATCGACTGCTGATGGGGGTTACGAAGCTGGAACGCACGTCAGGGGATTCCCCAAAAGGTGTACCCAGCGCGTGAACAATAAAAATAGTCAGACAGATATAACTTCTTATTTCCGGAACTGGAACTCTCGGTCGCTATCTTTGAGGCCAATTTGAAGCCGAAGTTGGCAACAATTCCAGTCCATTTTTATTGTTTTTGCCATTTTTGTCAGATTACCCCACGAGATAACTGTCAGTTGTCGTTGCAGTCTCTTTAACGAGTTAACTGCTGACAGAGCAAGCACAGATCAGATTAAGCAAAGAATTGTTATTTTCCCAATCTAGCTGCCAGGTAGGTCACGTTGAACCAGTCCAGTTTTTGTACTGGAGCGGATGATCCGCCAATCATTGGAAAATCACTAAAGTTCTTGTTAATCTGTGGTTTAATAAATCACAGTAATAATTTTTACTCCTGGGCATTTAAAATAGCTTCACATAGTTAGTCAGGCGAGGGTCCGTAGACCCGCAGGGATTTTTGCGATACTTTTGTTCAAATAGATTAATTTTATTGAAACTGAATTTCTATGTTATTTGGCTTATGCACTAACACGCCTAGCTGACGGTATCTATTTCACTATAAATAAAAAATATGTACAAAATGAAAACAGACTTTACGTTTATGTCTTTTGATGTTACATCATGGGTACATTACTCAAACTATAGTTCAGTAAAAATTCATCTACTTATATACAACCATTTGATTTATACAGATATTTGAAGTGTTCTGGTAACGATGTCTACAAAACAAATTCTTATTTCTAAAAAGCGTAAATGAAAAGGTAAACAAATAGCCTTGAAATTTTGTTCTACCTTTTCAATGTATGATACTAATTGAATTTTATTTTGGAATAATATTGCGACTTGTCAACCTATTTCATAATTGTTTAATTCCCGTGTGAGATTTCATGACGCGGGAGTTAAAATATCAACTGATACGAAACGTGCATTTCATTATTGTGGTGACGAAAGCAAAACATTTCATTATTATATTGCCCGCCAGACGAGCCTCATACTTGTGGTTATGCACTTAATCAATCTGAAGTTTCTAATATTGCTATGCACTCAGCGTACGAAAACAAAAGCGGCATATTTTCAAATGATATCAATCCTTTCATTGTGAGAATTCCCCGTTGCAGATTCCCCTGACCTGTCACAATTAAACTGGAAAATAAAGCGGCAATTTTTTTCGAAAAATCCAGTCCAGTGGCAGTGGACAACCGCCTTAACCCAAAAATGGATCAAGGTTTCACACCAAACTTATCTATGCCTAACCTTCGTGCAAGAAACAAAACGTTAAATAATCGACTGCATGAGGCACACAATAACAGTGAGTGCAATCAGCTCCTCTTCCTGGGGAAATTAATTACAATTATTAAAGGTTGCATAAATATAAAGAAATTATTAGTCAAACCATGCCAAGATGCCTCTCTTCAAATTCTATTCCCTCATTCCGTAGTCCCTCGTCACCAGTTTCTAGTTTCTTCTGCGGCAGCGCATACTTCAACTGTTGCCAGAACCATTTACTCTCTACGGTCAGATACGTATTCGTCTTTAGATACAACTTCAACTCGTCATCCAAACTGTCCACATCAACATCGTCAAAAAGGACGACGATCAAATAATTCGCACGTCCCTTTAAGACTCTCAGATGCGCGGCACGAAATTCCAACATGCACCATTCGCTTTGTATGAAATTTCGCGATAAAACCATGATCATTCGACGACTCTTTTTAACACAGTCAAGGATAGTCTCGGCGATTGGTGCCCCCGGGATAAAGTCCCTGTAGTGAACGCATAATTTATACGGTGGATTGTGATCTTTTTCCAATTTTTCTTGCAAAGTTTCTTCAACCCAAACTTTATCCCTCTCGTTGAAGGAGACGAAAGCGTCGTAGATCTTGGACGGGTCTGAATCGTCCACGCGGTCGAACGGATGCCAATTAAATCTCGTGTAAAGAATAAGCTTCAGTTCTTTACGAAAACGATACAGAAGAACGGCTGTAATGATAACCACGACTAGAAATCCTGCGACAACAAAGGAAGAGATGGCTGCTATACTTTCGTTAGGATTCTCTCCCGTATTGGCATCCTGCACACAAATAAAATCGCTGTCTTCAACCAAAATTAAGGGCTTTCCCTGATTTCTATCACCAGAGCTACAACCAACACTTTTTGCACCCCCAATAAATGCGTTCCGTTCTCTTTTTAACCAGTTTTTCATCCAAAGATTCTCACAGTCGCAGGTAAAATAGTTATTTTGTATATTGATTTTGGATAGGGTCAAATTTTGAATACGTTTTGGAAGTGTGGTTAACTTATTCGAATACAAGTATAATTCTTTTAACTTCAATTTGGAATCGTCTAAGGTAACACGTTCTATCTTGTTGTGACTGGCGTGAATTACGCTAACATTTTCCAAGTGTTTCGAAAGATTTAAGTTTCCGATTTGATTGTGCTCAATATTCAATTCGATCACGCCACCAGGAAGTTCTTCGGGGACTGTCGTAAGGTTCCGTTCCCGGCAGTCTACGAGCGTCGCAGAGCCAGGATAACCTTGGTGATAGCAAGTGCATCGCTTAGGACATTTTGAGCAATTACGTCTCTCGCACCACAACTGGTTCTGATGGACATCCAAAATTTTCTTTCCACGCAAATTCACTGGCGTGTAACAAATCCAGCTTTCAAAATCCTTCTCCGTGATTTCTTTAACAGCTGTCGTCCAGTATCGAATCGACGATAGCAAACCTCGAGTTTTGCAGTCGCAATGAAGAGGATTTTCCCCCAAAATTATTTTGAAAATTTTTAGCACGGACTCGAGCTTTTCCATTCTAAGCTTACCAAACTCGTTCAGGTCGAACCGTTCAATCGCGTTCCCTTGAAGGTTGAAGGTTTTCTTATTTCGAGAATTTGTTGTCAAGTCACGCGTGGAAGTCGTATCGATAGAGCTCCCTGTGTCGGTATGAAGAAACAAAAAATCGTGTTCGTTGAGTTCGTCTATCATTTTAACAAAACCAGCAAAGTTGATTTCGTTATACGACAAATCAAAAGTTACCAAATTTCGAACGTAAAGACCAAACTGTGGTACATCGCGCAACTTATTCTTACACAAATTAATCTTCTTCAGTGCGTCGAAGACGCCTCGGGGAACTGCGTTAGGCTCGACGACACGCAATAGATTGTTCTCGAAATCAATCGACTCCAATTTTTGCAACTCGTCGCTAAGAAAATTGTTCTGTAATGTGTGTATGAAATTGTTTTTCACGTTTAACTTTCGAAGATTTTCCAATCGTTCGAATATTCTTCCATCTAACGAGGTGAGGTTGTTTTTATTCAAGTTTATCGAAACTAGATCCAAAGTTTTCTGGAAAATTCGTGCGGGAATTTGGCTAATATTGTTCTCGCTCAAATCGACTATCTTCAAACCGATCACTTCGTCAAATATTGTCGAATTAATAGATCTCAATTGGTTTCCGCGCAGAGAAATTTTATCTACTTTTCCAGAGGGATTTTTCAAATGGTTCAGCTCTGAGTTGAATTCTACCATAAAAAAGCGCCGATAAACTCGCGGACTTATTGTCGCACCCTCAGAATAATGATCGTTCAATAAGGTAGTACGGGACAAATTTCTCGGAAGCTCCAAACCTTGGTTTGACCATGGGAAATCAGGTAGTGCCCGGAGATTATTTCCTGATAATTCCAAGGACTGTAAATGAGGCATAGTTTTTTTCAAAGTCCTTAGTGTTTCTGCCTCAAGGCGCATTTTGCTAAATTGTACTTCAGCCATTTTCTCCCAGACATAGGACAAAAACATTCGGGGCATTGTTTTGTTTTTCAAATTGTTCAAAACCAAACTCCCGATATTAAATAACCCTTTCAAGTCAGCCTCAGTCTCCCCTTTGTCTTCCAGTACAACCTGATTCCACATGTACAGGACCCGCAAATCCGCAACTCGTCCCCAAACTGCAAGGTCTGCACCGGACACGCGGCACTGATTCCTCAGCCGAAGATACATTACCCGGTCCTTTGCAGTAAAATTACCCGGCCGGCAAAAAGACAGCCTTGCCGGGGAAAGGCAGTGGAATCGGACGTCATTTAT